TGGGTTATGTTGGACAGAAAAACTTTGTTTCATAAACCTGGTAGTCCTCCATTTGTAAATGTCCTTGAATAAGTGTCCACTAGTTTATGTCCGTCATTAGTTACTTGATGGTTACAATGTCCTCTCTGACTTGATATTGTGAGAGGGTGGTTGCCCTCTCGTTCAGCCGTAGGTATGAAAACAGAAAACACTTGCCTTGTTGAGTTGCTATGATAAACTTAGGACACCGCTGAAATCATCGTGAATGATAATCAAAGTTGCCCAATCTCTGAGCTGCTTTGTTATTGTTTCGTTTCATGTGGAAATATAAGCTGAACTTGTAAGCTGGATAGATCAGTGGTTACAATGTGTAAGTTTGGTAATCTGACTCATGTCCTACACAGTTGATATTGTTTTTGGTCATGTTTTTTAAAAGTAAACCGCTGGTGTAACATGTGATATTCCGGATTACACTTTTTCGGATTCTGTTATTTTAACATTCAAGTCACATCCAGGATTCGAAGTCACTCCCACTAGTCAGGTTCAGTTTTAGGTAATTAAAGCTGGCAAAGCGATACTTCTGATGATCACAAAACGATTCACATACACCTTTAACACCATCAGTGATTGTCTAGTATATCACACCTGTATATAAAAATCTTTATATGTAACTGAGGATGTGATGTCACTGGCCTTCCTGTCTCCAATTTGTTGAGTTGCTGTGATGAGAAAACTTAGGACACCGCTGAAATCATTGTGAATGATAATCTTAAGATGCCCTATCTCTGAGCTGCTTTGTTTCATTGTTTATTCCCAAGAACTAATAAATCAATAGTCTTTCAAGATTGGGATTTTTCACAATATTTCCAATGATGCAATACCAGTTTATTTTATATGGTCAAAATCCTGACATTTAAGTGACACTTGAGTGTCTTAACAATGTAATAATTGTAAATAAGAAAGTGAGTGTATGTATTACCATTTGACAACACATCAGCGAATGTTTTGTAGCCAGATAGAAACAAAACATGAATATAGGTGAAGCAGGATGTTAAAGCTGACATGTATTACAGGTCATGTTCTCCACATTAATGTGGAAACAAAACACCAACAGTGACACATTTTCTTACAAATCAGTTTGTTATGCTTCCTCCGCAGTTGATGACCGTAAATATGAAGGTCACTCGGCATGAACTAGCCATCTCAGGAGCTTATGCACATGATAGCTTGTGTTCTTATAAACAATTTTTTACAAAATTTGTATGTAGTCACTTAGTCGAGTTTTCAATGGTAACTTTGTAGGTACTTGACACCACCTCAGTTTGCGTGAAGTCATGGCAAGGGTGAAGGTCACTCAGTGTGAAATGTTTCCAAAATCTTTTGTAAACAGTATTGAGCATTTATTATGGAAATTTGGTGAAACTTTCCAAACAGAATCTCCGGGTAGTGCATTGCATAGATTGAAGGTCATGGTCATTGATCTGGAAGTGCTTGGTTGAGGCAGCTAGATTCATGGGACTTTTGTGTTACAAGAGTTGTACTACATGCAGGAGTGGAAATAACTTTAAAATTGCTAGTGTACTCCGGTACAGTGGCACATGTAAAATCACTGGCCCTGATAAGTTTTCCACTATACTGGCTGGCTTCTGGTTGATTTTTTAAATAAACAACATAATTAACATTGGAAAGTCAAGTGGACACCGGTACAGTGTGATATACAAATTTGCTTGCCCGACAGGAAAAACACTGGACTCGGACGTCGGGTAATGGGTTATTTCCACCCCTGTACATGTCATGTGAGGTCAACTGTCGCCTGGTGTGTTGAAGTTTACATGGTTCATGGCAAGGTTTAGGGGCATTCAGGGAATGGACCGCTTCTGTATGAATATGTTGAGTTGCTATGATGAGAAACTTAGGACACCGCTGAAATCATCGTGAATGATAATCTTAAGATGCCCTATCTCTGAGCTGCTTTTGTTAAATGCAGTGATGAAAACTTTGCCAAAATACTGGTTCACAAGTAAACTTAAAGGGGAATGATTGGGAAGGTATTATTGTAAGTCTCCCTAAATTTGTCTTTATATTTATGACTTTCTAACTTGCCATGTGTGAAGCCCATTTCTGGTGTCCCTTGCCGTGATATTGCTGGAATATTGCTAAAAGCGGCGTAAAACCCAACTCATTCATTCATTCTAACTTGCCATTGTAACTAAAAAATGTTGTGTTTTGTGGCTAGTCAAGAGCTTGAATATTGGCACAGTCTTGTTCTGGTAGGAACTGAAACAATCCATGGTACGGTCAATCTTGTCCTTAAAACTTGGCACAGATTGTAAACTTTACATCTGAAGATTTTGGAGGAAGTGGTTTGTGATGAAATGCAGTTGGGAAATGTTGATGCTTGAAGTGGCTATGATGAGAAACACTTAGGACACCGCTGACTTCAGCTGAGTGAGAAAACATGTTGCCCTTAACTCTGAGCTACTTCTAGATCTTGATGTCTAATGCACAGTAACATTACTGATGAAATATATCCCGTATTCAAGGAGAGAAACCTTTCAAACTTTCCCACTAGACCACAGGACCAGTGAGTGGACAATAATCAGTGGTCCTGTCTGTAATTCACTGGTCCAAAATAACATTCGTAGATTTACTTAACTATCAATACAAAATTCACTGGCCACCAGGACCACTGCAAACTTATCATTTAGTGGTCCTGATGAATTTCTACTAGCCAGTACCGCAGGACCAGTGTAAATTTTGCACACTGCATATTTCCATTCTCTAGTCCAGTAGATGCTTGTTAGCATGAATTGTATTTCATCAGCAATTAAATTGTGTTTCAGGTATCCCTCCAGACCAGCAGAGACTGATCTTTGCCGGCAAGCAGCTGGAAGATGGTCGTACTCTCTCGGACTACAACATCCAGAAGGAGTCCACCCTTCATCTTGTGCTCCGCCTGAGAGGAGGAGCCAAAAAGAGGAAGAAGAAGAATTACACCACCCCAAAGAAGAACAAGCACAAGAAGAAGAAGGTCAAGCTTGCAGTGCTCAAGTACTACAAGGTAACACTTGGCAGATGAGAAAACTATGAAAGGTCTTTTACAGAATTTACAGTGTCTGTTTACAAACTAATCACATAAAATTTGAGAAATTTTTAAAAAGCATTGAGTGTACATCCTGTGTTTTGGGCCTTGTGGAACTTATTCCTGTTGATATATCTGGAATAATCCTAAAACTAGTAGGAAACCATGTTGGGTGTAATTGTCTGTTGCTTTCACATGGTTGATTTCCTGATTTGTCAGTTTAACCGTTTGTCACCAGTCTCGACTCCTGGACAATGCTTGCCTTGAATAAGTTTTTGACATTGCTATTCCAAATTGTCTTAAGATGAAACTCAGTGAAACATCTGTTTTCCAGGTTGATGAAAACGGCAAAATCACACGTCTGCGAAGAGAATGTCCCAATGAGGAGTGTGGAGCTGGAGTATTCATGGCCTCCCACTTCGATAGACAATACTGCGGGAAGTGTTGCCTCACATATGTATTTAATAAGCCAGAAGAGAAGGCATAAAGAGTGAATAAACATCTTTGGGGAAGCTTGTGTTTGTTGCTATCATTGATCATATTTTACTCCAGGAGCGACTGTCAATGTATTCTAGTCATGCTTGAAATATAACAAATCACTTCAAGCTTTGCAGTGGGCCAAATGAAGATTTTAGATTCTCATTGTCATGTTTGGTTTTGTCCACTACACTTATATAGCGTTGGGTGGCACACTGCAGCTGTGCAACGAGCTATCATCAGCAAGTACACATCATTTTCAGACTGCAATATGGAAGCACAAGTCTAGTGTATTTGTGATGTATGATCAGAATGGTTGTGACCTGGAAACTGGTCTTGCGCGTTTTGTCAACATGGGAGATATAGACTCAACTTTGAATGTCAAAATTTTTAATTTTGTACATCTATCAATCAGCATTCAACCTAACATGGGGTATACCATGTATAACAGTTTGGAAATGTGACTGCTTAGTAACTAGGGGGCCCATTTCTGGTGTCCCCCGCTGTGATATTGCAGGAATATTGCTAAAAGCGGCGTAAAACTAAACTCAGTCGTAACTATGGGGTAGCCTGGTAGTAAGTGTCCGCTCGTCACGCCAAAGACTGGGGTTCAAATCCCCACATAGGCACAATGTATGTGAAGACCATTTCTGGTGTCCCCAGCCGTGATATGGCTGTAATATTTCTAAAAGCGGGGTAAAACCACACTCACTTAGTAGCTATGAATGTTAACAAATTTAACTTGTGTATGGACTGAAAAATTGACACCACCACCAACCCCCTTTACCAGTTTGAGGCACTGGTCACACATCTGTACTCTGCTACATCCTGTTTTGCAAACTAGGGAGGATTCTAAGTATCACCATATCTGTTTTCTGTTTACTGAGCAGAACTCTAAACCTTTGGATATGAGTTTATGAAAGATGCTATATAGGTAAGACGTCTGGTGATCTGGTGCCTTTTCATTTTAGATATTGAAAAGTACTGAAAATCTCCATTTTCCCCTCATTGAATGAAAGACATCAATGGCAATAAACCAACAGTTGGGTGTCCAATGCCAGAGACCATTTCCAAGTCACCTGTAGACTGGGCATATCCACGTAATATATAATAATCTCCTTACGACACATGTTCCAATATGTCCTTACTGACAGCACCACATACAGCTGCCTGGAATATCATACTCGCACATCTGTGAAAAATATAGCCCATGAAATCAGGCCTGAAGTTCAAATGAGCTGATCCAACCTCAGGTGTTGGGACAGACGAACCAAGGACAGGTTTCACTAAAATAGGAATCTCTCTGATGAGTGAAAATTGAGATGCCATGTATCGACCATTCACACTGGTGACAAGCACCCCAATATTTTTTGTACCTTGCTTTGAATTAAGCTGACATGCCAAGAAAAAAAATGTTCACCTAAGTTGGGACGTGAGGCAGTGTGAAAGATGACAAATTAACTTTCAAACACTTCCAATTTATTCATCAATATGGAAAACTTCACAAATCATAAAGAATAATGAATGTCATTCCTCTGTTTCGTTACTGTAAAGTGTAACGATGGGAAGACCTCGGGAATTTAAAGCATGAAAACTCTCAAACAAAAACATCTTGAAATCATGGTGCAGCCAACCATGTTCACGTAAGCTTCTCATGTCAGCAAGCAACTTCACAAAAGATGTCTCGTCATACATTCAACAGTAATGCCACAGTTCATTTGGCACCTAATACAGTTTGTACGAGATAACTCAGCCGCAAAACTCTCCACACTATGCCACATTGTCAAGTTAGTTGCCTTTAACATACCGGTATATTTCTTCGTTCCATCCACAGGGGTTCAAATCACTGTTTGGACAATAATGTTTAAAAATAAAATATCTAGACTTTTGCAATCGTATATTGTTTTTATGTGTTATGTTTAACGTATATTTCAAATTTGAACAAAATCATTGAAAAAATGAATATTTTAGAAAATTCTACCACTGCACTCATTACATAAAAATTGTTGTCCAAACAGTGATTCGAAACCCTGTGGTTCCATCATGCAGGATCATTGACAATACACAAGAGAATCTGGCCATTGAGCAGTCCCAGAAAATCATATTCACAACCCTCAAATAGCCTTTGTGTTGTGTGCTAATACAAATGATAATTAAAATTAAGTTAGCAATTACTGATGGTGATAATTCGTATTGACTAAATCATGATAGAAAATACCCACACCAGACCATGGAGAAGTATCTCCTACATTAAAGGTTGAAGAAACACATTCACCTCACTAACCTTTTTAGATTTTAATCCTGGCAAACATGGAGGGTTAACATCTTGGATATCATATCAAATGGACACATTATATTTGCAATCAAAATAGCCATTGCACTGTCCAAAAAGCAAAACAAAACCCTTTTCAGTGAGTAGAACGTAACTTTATGAGTAAACTAACAATGCTGAAATAGGGTCTGCACAAGGTTACAACTGAGTTGAGTATCCAATAACAGAAAAGTTGGATGTATACAGTTTTATCTAATTGTAAATTTTTTGAAGGACACATCCTCAATTGCCCTTTCATTTGAGAAGTCGCATCGTGTTATAGTTGACATGGGACTCCCAACACTGCTTAGCCAATGTTTCCTGTGAAAAGAAGAAAGTTTTTAATGTGATAGATTTTCATAAAAAGATAATACTGGATCAGAATACTTTGAGTCAATTAAACTGATACATGCCAAACGTTTCTGGCTGTGCAGTGATCACAACAGTCTTGACAGAGATAAACAGTGATTATAACAATTCTTACATGAAGTCAATATTTTTCTTAGGCCCTTGAATCTGCCCCGTGACTGTGTCTTGATAAGTATTCTTCACCCAGCCAACACAACCGTTCTCTGTTGATGTTCTTCGAGTGTACTGTTTGAAAAATATAAAAACTATTATTAATGAGAGTATATTTTGTCATGTTCAGATATTAAAACTTGTAAATGAGCAAGAGCTTGGCAATTTCTGGTTATTACTTGATTCATTGTTTTCTTCCATTTTTTCATAAAATTCAAGGAAAAGTCTGTTGAGCCAATGTTGTGACTCTACTTGCTGATTTGGTTGATGTTGGTCATCATATCCCAAATAAATCAATGCTCATAATATCAATCCCTTAACTGTCTGGTCCTGATTTAATTTTTTTAGCCCACCTTTATATAGCCGTGAAATTGCTAAATGTGGGGAGGGGGTTGAAGCGTTCACTCGTCACGCCTAAGACCCGGGTTCGATTCCCCACATGGGTAAAATGTGTGAAGCCCATTTCTGGTGACTCCCGCAGTAATATTGCTGAAATATTGCTAAAAGTGGCGTAAAACCATACTCACTCACTCATGCTGAGTAGGGCATGAAACAACAAACAAAAAACATTTATATCTGCTCATAAGTGAAGCACTGCATGGTGCCCAGTCGTTCATAACTCCGTCTTAATCCAGATTTTGAAAAACATGACAAACCCAGCAAGTCATACCAAATATTTTCTTCATAAGTCATGTCTGACACAGAAAAGCCCTTTCACCAACATGCTTGATGCTACTTACATCACGGAAAAATACATCTGAAATTAGAAGAAAATATTCTTTTGAGCAATAATGTAATATCAATAGATATTCATCACTATATGACTTCTGTTTGTTCTTTACATGATGAATTACACATATATGCAGTCAACTACCCATTCATGTTTTATGTCATCACTTCAGTTCTTGCACATACACGACTTAAGTAGTTTGTTTTAAACAAAATAACTTGCATTTAAAAATGCATCACTCCAATAACTGAATGAAATCTAGCATTTAGATATTATGGTCTTTTGCAAAATATATGCAAGCTTCTATGTTTTCTCCTGACCAACGAAAGTATCTACATGGAAAACAGAAATATCTGAGAGAGCAAAGTAATTGGGGTTGGTTTATAGAGAGAGAGTGTTAGGTACTTATTCAACATTACTTTATGTGGGCGGAAATTCTTAGTCTGTATATAGGCTACCTTCTTGTCACCTGTTGTCGAAGTGTACATTCTCTATATCAAAGTCTGAACAAATTAACTAAGAATTGAATAAATCTGCTACAAATGTAATCCTAACAGCACTGCAAATAACAAATCATGCCCCGCATAACAAATAACGACATGTATGTACATTTAGTATGACAGACGCACAAGGAGATTTCATTATTACATCTTTATATTCCTCTCAAACTTTTACTGAAGGTATTATTTAATCTGAATGGATGTCCTGTGGCAATACATCATGAGGGTTCAGAGAGATATATGATTGTATGTAGTTTTCTTGCAGTTTCCTGAAAATATATTTCAAATACAGAGAACAGAAGCTTCCACTGGGTGAGACTTAACCACTTATGAGGTTTAAATACCTATTGGGGGATGACAAGGAGATAAATTCCTCATTACTTGAAACTCATTACTTGCTTATTGTTACAAACCTAACTGGTATCAAACAACTACAGAAAATATCAAAGTATTTGCAGATGGGGTTGATATGTACATGGTCAGAAGAGGTTTTATTCAAATGGACACATCCTATTTTGAAATTCAGAATAAAGATATTTCATGAAAAATCCTTGACCTTGCACTTTGCCATGGACCTCAAAATCAACTGATATCTTCCTTGCATCAGACATTTGGGTTCTGAGGCCTAGAAAGATCGCTACAAATAACTCCTATGACAGTGCAAATGAAAACATAGGACATTAGTTGAGTCCCTTTATAACATTAGAGTGGCTTCCCCCTAGTGAAATCTTACGTCCGCTTTGGTTGGATAAAACTTTAGGCATTGCTCATATTTCGTCCAATCAAAGTAGGTTTAACATGATAAAGTTGACATAGCAAAATGGCCGCTTTCCAGATTTGCTGGTCATGTTGGTGACTTTGCGAAGTAACATCAATCGATTACCAAAATGTCGACACGGAAGGACGTGCTGGGGTTTGAGCCCCAGAAGGAATCGATCTACAACCAACTTCTACCATATAGCGAGAAAATTGATGCAGAAACGACAGATTTTCTTGCACAGATCAAAGGAAATTTAGGAAGAGCTGTTCAACTCAGAGACGTGAAATATGGAGCCAGCCACTGGATTGGTCAACTTTCCAGGTATTTTATGATGAAAATTTTATGGAATGCTATCTGATTAGTTTTACATTAAAAAATACCAACTTGATGAATTTTCTTTGAATGATTGTTCCGTTATTAATGATAACCACTGTAATGTTACGCAGTGACAATTTAACGTCAATTATCTCATCTCAGCAGCACTGTAACACGATTCTTCACATATGTGACAGTTCACGTATGGTTCCAAAGTATATCTGATTGAAGCAATTATTGACAGGCAGACTGTTACAACAGGATTGCCTTGAATCAGATGCCACGCCCAAATTTGTTAGGACTAGGAGCGCATGAAATTTTGAGATGGCCACAGAAGACAGTCATCATGATCATTGTAATGTATGAAAAGTTACAAAAAGATGAGGATGTAATAAAGGAATTAAATGAGTTTGGGGAATTCAAGGACTGAGCATTAGGACTGTCTCCTTGTTCACAACTATACAAATGAAAACCCATTCATTTTATGATTTTGCGCACAATATGTGTATGATCTCATTTGCCGGACATTTTGCTGCAATATCCCAACACAAGCTGAATTCGACGTTCTGGTGATTTCGGCGATTGCATTGCATGCGCTATATCGGGGGAGTACGTGTGCGATCGGAGTGCACAAACGGTTTCACTGGTAGGGCGGGTGCCAAGTCGCTGTCGTGAGAAGTTTTATTGACAATGGAAATCGGGAAGTAAAGTTGTATAAAAAGCAAACAAACATCAATATGATTTACACGAGATCGTTAATACCACTTACGATGCAAAATCAGTTCCCTTTATAACAAAAAATAGCAAGTGAAAATTCAGTTAGATCAGTCGTCTGCTGGTGACAGGCAATATATAAATAAGTACCCACGTGATCACAACAAACCCTCGCAGTGCGGTGCAAAAAGTATTGCTCATCGTCGAAAACCCATACAAAATATCGGATGTTACGAGCGGCAACAGTTTCGCCGATACGATTTCATCAATGCTATTTTTGTAGGGAACACTTGATATTTTTGTGTGAAATAGATGAATATATCCTTTATCACTCAAGGTTAGTAAAATACAAACTTTAAATGATATTACAGATAAAAAATACGTTTTTGTCTTACATCGTCGAAAACCCCTGACACCAGGATACCTTATGGCTTAGCGTAGATTTACAGCAGTCATACCTACAAGGTCTGTTTGAAACACTGTCTAACTAGATATGCTCAGAGGCCGTTACTCAGATACAATTACAAATTTATGAGTTTGTGTCATGTAGTAGTTGCTTTGTGTTTTGGCTTTGTAGTAGACTAGAATTTGTAATCCAGAAAATCCGAACACTCTATATCATGCTGGGTTAGAGAATATGTAAAACTAGTGAATATCTTGAAGGACAAGTGCATTTTCTCCTTAAAGGATTGTAATGTTGTGTTTACACCCATACATATATGCCCGTGAATGAAGTAGATCTAATCCAAATTAGTTCTTTTCAAACATTCACAAATATTTCCATCATGTTAAAGAGGATAAACTTTTTTACTCCCAAGACTCAATTTTAGTTTCAGAGAGTGATCCAATATATACCTATATGACTGCAGTGATGGATCTTGGCATTGGCGCACAGAAACATCTCAAATATCTGCTGAATTTCATTGTACTGATTGTTCATACCTTTTAGAGGGGCGGTGGGGTAGCCTAGTGGTTAAAGCGTTTGGCTCATCACGCCGAAGACCCGGGTTCGAATCCCCACATGAAGCCCATTTCTGGTGTCCCCCGCCGTGATGTTGCTGGAATAATGCTAAAAGCGGCGTAAAAGCAAACTCAGTCAGTCATACCTTTTAGCGAAAAAACAGTTTCTATGAAACTTCTCACTGACAAAATCCTTCACAATGTAATTTATTGATCACTTCTAGCTGATGCATTGTGTGACTTGTTTGTGTTGAAAAACCTGCCATTTATTAAAGAATTGATGTGTTCTTGCTTATTCTTCTTGACCTTGTTAGAAAGAATGATTCCAGAAAGAAAACATACTCGGTCCTATTGGCACTTGTTGCTATATGTTCATGTTGGACACCTGACAGCTAGGCAACCATTCTGTAAGGAAACTTTGTGTATTTTTCAACAGGTCTCTTTTTCATGTCGAATATAGTAACTGTTATTAAATTTCGAACTGGAAACCTTTCAGACTATGTTTGGCAAATTTACAGTATGGAGATAAAGAAACAAATTAAATGTTCAAGTTTATTATTTCTATTGAAGCAAACACTTTATCTGTTTTAACCCTGACAATAACAGTGATTACTCATGTATCTGTACATATCATTGTGAAAATGAATTTATTATAAGAGTAATATTGCATTGTTTACATCTCTGCCAGTGAAGCTTAACTGTTTTATGTCAGGTCCTTGAATGGCAAGCATCCATGTTAAAGTGTAATGGTGTCCCACAAATAGTACCCGTAATAGACTGAAACTTATTGATCTTCGTGAATGTGGAAACATTTCTATTAAAGCTTTGTCATTGATTTTCCATATTTGCATCACCTTTAGACATGTTATGTTATAGTACCTTTTTATTTTATCACAATGATGATGATGGTGTAACTACTCTACATCACAAATTCATGACAGATTAATTAAAAAACACAGAGAAATTATATATTTTGTACTTCAACTAGAAGGCAAGTTGCTTATGGTGCTGTTAACTGCATACCTTCCACTGGAGGTTTTTCTTCTTTATCCTATTAAAATAACTGGAAATTTGACACGGTACCATAAACAATTTGATAATATTTGCCAATGATGAATTCTGAGTTTTAGCTCACCCTAATACTGTTCAAGTCTGAATTTAAATCAGTATGTATAAATATTTAAAAAAAGCCACAATTATTTTGTTATATTCAGTTTTTCGCTAAATTTGTTGAGTTAAGAGTAATTAATACCCTATTCAGCAGATCTATTCATCAGTTTCCCATGTGGGAAATATGATCGCTTGGTATTGCAATATATTGTAGCACTTTTATTGGGAGCAATATTCAACGAAATAGTGAGCATGACCAGGATGGCAGTATTACTTGTGAGGCTGTAGATGCATACCTGATGAGTTTCTTGTCACCTGTCATGACAGCAGGTGAATCAGGCATTGGTCAGTGATCATATGATAGTGCAAACATGGCTGAACAGCTGGTGTTGACAAGTTTGGATGGGGAGCATCTCAACGAATAAGTTTACATTAAGTATATATTACCAGAAGTCTCAATAACAGCAGTTATATGTACTCTGTCCTTTATGTGTATGTTGGTAATTACTGTTTGCACTAATATGTGTTTGTTTGGAAGTTTTTGTTGACTGGTGATACCAAATGAAAAACAAGATTATGAAACCACTGTAATATGTTGATGTTGCTGTAGTTGTAACAGTGAAGTCAGCTGCATTGGAAGGTGTGAAGTTATTGATTAATACATGAATAATGGAAGTTGTGGATGCTGAAGTGTCCACTTAAATGAAATATCACATGATAAGTCAGTAAGGGTGTTGTGTCTTTTTTGCATACCCCCGACCTTAAAAGTTCCAGTTTATATAGTTATACCAAGGAATTCTGTCCGTCCGTCCACAGGGCCATTGACTCACAAACCACAGGGCCATTGACTCTCAAACCATAAGGCCATTGATTCTTAAACCACAAGGCCCATTGACTCACAAACCACAGGGCAATTGACTTTCAAACCACCAGGCCTAATGACTCACAAACCACAGGGCCATTGACTCACAAACCACAGGGCCATTGACTCACAAACCACAGGGCCATTGACTCACAAACCACAGGGCCATTGACTCACAAACCACAGGGCCATTGACTCACAAACCACAGGGCCATTGACTCACACACCACAAAGCCTAATGATTCTAAAACCACCAGGCCCAATGACTTTGCCCATCAAGTGCAGATTTGCAGGCATGATGTCAGCAGTAGTTTCACTAAATGTTTCTGAATTCTGATCTGAGTTCAACATGTCCACTGGCAGCCATTTTCCCCATTGCTCAGTATCACTGTATAGTTTATATCCAGTAAAATTAACATGATCTGTCAAATATGGATTAACATTCAATAAAATATATTAAATCAATTTTCTTTTAACCTTGTACACCATGACTGACCCTTCTATACGACCCAGTATGGCCTTTGTTGATGCATTTTGAGTGAGTGAGTATGCTGTTACGCCTCTTTTAGCAATATTCCAGCAATATCACGACAGGGGACACCAGAAATGGGCCCATGTGGGGAATCTAACCCAGGTCTTTGCGTGACAATCGAAAGCTATAACAACTAGGCTACCCAACCGCCCCAATGCATTTTGAACCATGTCAACATATATGAGGCCTCTTGGTTTGCTCAGATGAATCATTCTGTAGGTTATCCCAGCAGGTGTTGCTCAAAGAAAATTTATCACATTCAAAAAAATGGAAAAATTGTGAAAAAGAATGATTGATGAAACAGATTTAGATGAATGTGACTACACTATGGCCGTGTTTTTGACAAGTGACTGAATATCCTTGTTGCAGATATATCCGACTGTTCGGCTACAACTTCACCAAGTCGGACCACATCTGTCTGGTTCATCTGGTGTTCGACCTGATGACCATCCCAAACCTTGAACTGTCCCTGGTACAGAAGTACGCAGCACTGCTTACAACTCTCCTTAAGTAAGTTTTGTCACATTTCATATTCGTGGATGTGTTTACATGTAGTAATCTTTACTCTCTTAGAAGACTTGCTTGCTTGTTGTTAAACGCCGCACTGAGCATTATTCCAGCTAGATGGCGGCCATCTGTAAATAATCAAATCTGGGCCAGACAGTCCAGAGATCAACAGCATGAGCGTCTGTCTACACAATTAGGAGATAAACAGCATGTGTTGGCCAATTTCCGGGTGTTATTGAGTATTTGAAGCACGCGAATTCATTTGGAACACCCGGAAATTGGCCAACACATGATGTTTATCGACATTGTAAACACAAAAGTAAACCAAAAGGTCCACACACGTTTTTGTGTCTGCACTCATTGACATCGAATACGGGTACAGCAGTGAAATGTCATCAGCCGGCCGTTTCGGCTGTTTCCCATGGTAGCATCTGGAGCTGCTCATTTGTGACGTCATTCCGACTCTACGTCACAATATGATTTTAATGACGTCATCACAGCTGACGACGTAACAATACAATGGTGTGAGCGATGTTTGCATGTATTAATATGCAGCGAATTTCCGGGAATCGAATACCATTTGATCACGTTTTTCAACCAATCAGATTAAAGAACACAGTGACTTTTGGTTTACAATTGGGATTTGATGATAAGTGTTGCCTGTTACGACAAGCATGGGTTGCTGAAGACAACCTGAAGTGGATGATATTTTAATAATATTATAATGTAAACTTTCTTGCAAGTGTATGATACATCTTTAAAGTAAGTAGTCAATGTTTTTTCTTTTCTGAAATGATTTGTCATATTGATAAATACATGAAAATGGCAGTCCTCAGAAAATTTGGACCTCTAACTTGCTTAAACAAATGTGACTTGAATCTTTACTGATTATCTTAACTGATAATATTTAAGATCCATTATTTTTCATTTATTTTCCATATAGGTTACAGAAATACAACATACGAAATTGAATTATGTTTAGGAATTTTAAGCCTCAGTGTTTGGAAAGATTGTTCATAATGATATATCTTGAAGCTTTGAATCTGATGCTTGAGTTAAGAAATAAGCAAATAAATGGTGATTCTTGTCTTTTAGGAAGAAGGAGCTGTTAACTCGTGAAGACCTAGTGTTGCCATGGAGACCACTCTATGACCTAGTTGAGTCTGTGATGTATTCCCAGTACGAACACCATGGGCTGCAGCTGTTTCCATCGTGAGTCTACTGTCACTTCTAGTAATGACTATTTCTGTAACTGACCTGTACCAGAATCATTCCTTGGAAGAGAAAGTCATGCTTAGCTACACTTTATGTGTCTACCTGTTGTTGAAAGATCAGCGATTTACATACTTAGGTATGTAGTTTATTTCTATTGACTAGTGTTGGGAATTGGTTGAAATCTCATAATTGATGATTGCTTCCTTACCAACGAACAAATCATCAATAAAAATTGGTTAGCGTCAATTTTCAGATTTTCCTATCCAAGTTGTTATTGCAGATATGTATAACATGATGCACCTTGCTACTTTAAAGTGATGTTGATATATCATGAACATAAACCTGGGGTCTTCAAGAAATATTCAGTCATGACTTTTCAGTTAGTGAAGTGAGTTTTCTAAGAATTAAACAAGTTTTCAGGCCCTGACAACTTCGAAGATATGTTCCATTGTCAAGTGTTTCAAAGACCAAAACAGCAGTTCCAAAATCATTTGTGTTCAATTATGAGAAAATGTGATCGATTGCTTGGTCGTTTGGTCACTTCGACCAATCTTCGATTATTTCAATTAATCGGAACCCCACTACTATTGACCCACTGACCTTGTTGAGTAGGGTATGTCACTTCTGCTTATTTCATGTTTTGGCTTGCATTATTGTAAATAATGATGTTCTAAATGTTATTGTTTTTGGTTTCATATTTCAGCAACATAGAAAATGTACTGAAGAGTGTTGTCCGCTACTGCCGTGTGTAAGTACTATGAGTCTATCATAATTTGACCTCCTTGTGGCATCAACTAAAGAAACAATGTTATACCCTATCAACAAGAATTCATATTTTATTCTGAATGGGATTCCATAGCTGAATAGGTCCCTAGGACCCCTAATTAAAGTTCACATCCGTGAAGATCGGGTTAGAATATTGGCCTTCAGTAACCCATGCTTGTCGTAAGAGGCGACTAACGGGATCGGGTGGTCAGGCTCGCTGACTTGGTTGACACATGTCATCGGTTCCCAATTGCACAGATCGATGCTCATGCTGTTGATCACTGGATTGTCTGGGCCAGACTCGATTATTTACAGACCACTGCCATATAGCTGGTAATATTGTTGAGTGCGGCATATAACTAAACTCGCTCACTTATAACAGTTTACCAGTGATGCTCAGATTGTTACAGTATTTGCCTGGCTAATTGTTTGTCATGCTCTTGCCAAGTGGTTTGTTGCTCATGCTTTCAACCATCTGTTTGTCTTGTCAAACTAAGTGAATGTATATTTCACAGTGATGCAGCTTAATTGTTGCTGAATACAAAGTATCACAGCGATTACTCATCATACATAGCATGTAGACGCCACAGTATTTGTCAGCTACATACATGTGATGGTGGTGTGCACCGAAGGGGTAAACATCTGACACCTGTATCACTTTTGGCTTTCTCCCCACATGAATATAGGGGGCTGTTATGATTGTTATGGGCTCTCTCTCTCTCTCTCTCTCTCTCTCTCTCTCTCTCTCTCTCTCTCTCTCCAGTTTAGGCTCTACATGTACAAAATTGCTTTCTCTCTCTCTCTCCCCACACCAGTACATGAGTACAATATTTATTAAACAACCCCCACTCTATAAACAACCCCACCCCACCACCCCACCACCACCCCACCCCCAGGACAAAAAGTGAAGCCCCCTTAAATTCAGCACCATCCCCTAGCCATAAAGCACTTTTTTAAATATATATTTTTGCATTTTTCTGTGTAGGTATTTCTCACTGGAATCTACATCTGAGATGCTGGAGGAATGGCGTCCACTTATCTGCCCATTTGATGTCACAGTCATCAAGGCTCTCAATTACCTGGAGTTGTTCCTACCCACGTCTCTACCACCGGAACACTACGACAAGGGCTACAAGCTGTGGTTTGATGAACTGGTTCAACTGTGGCTGTCATTTCACAATGGCCCTTCCTGGGAGTATGTAAGTATTTTACTACTTTCTTTACTAGTGACAGCAAGTTTTATTGAATTGATTTCATTTGAGGACTGATGGAATAAAAACAGCTGGTCATAAGATATGGCTTTTGAAACTTAAAACCAAGAATACACCCGTCCTGTTCAGTAACAATATTACACATTTTCCTCTGTAGTCATACAACTTGCCAGACACTGGCTGCACTCTTCAGCACTAATATTTTCTATCACTGTTGTTTATCACTGTTGTATTTAGAGGCCCAGATAAGCTGCGTATCCAGGTAAAATACGCATTAAATTACGCATTGAAAAATAATTGTTGCGTACCAATTACGCATTTAAAATGTTAGTTACGCAAAAAGTTTAAAACAAATGCGTACGGAATATATTTATAAAAATCGCTTGCGTAATGAAAAAGACATCGATTGCTATCAAGTTGTACTGTAAGTATAGGACAAGTGTTGTAATGTCAGTATTGGATGAGTGAGCTTTTATGAAATATTTTCCATTATATTTAAGTTGGTTTTGATTAGGTATGACATAAGGCAGAACATACCTGCTTAGTAAACTTACTCAATGACGTAATACTTAGGTGAGTAAAGTGACTGAAATACGCACATATTTGAAAACAGTGGGTAACGGAAAATGACATACCCACTCAACATTCATAATACCCACTCCAAAAAAATACAGTGGGTACAGTACCCACATGAGCTAAATCTTATCTGGAGCTCTGGTATTGATACAGCTATATACTTCCAATAAGCAGTAATACAAACATCAACTCTCCTCATAACTATATCAGTATGTTGAGTTTCTTTAACCATTTATCTAAAGGTGATGTAATCAGCTAGAAGAAGAAATGATATTATTTTGCTTAATGGGATCAAAGGACTGAATAGTTTTGGTATGCCTGTTTTAGAAGTTTATAGTTCTTAGTTTTCTGTAACTTGATTGTTCCCACTATTGCAGAGCCTTGTGTCACTGTTCTCCAGACTCACACAAGACAACATCGGCTATATAGACTGGAGTCCCAACATAGATCAGGTAAACAGCACTAACATATCTCTAGCTGTGACATGCTCTGATGATACAGTTAAATAGTAGCTTGTACATGTGGGATAGACCTGTGAAGATCCAGGTTAGAATTGGCCTTCAGTAACCCATGCTTGTTGTAAGAGGCGACTAACGGGATTGAGTGGCCAGACTCGCTGACTTGGTTGACACATGTCGTCGTATCCCAATTGCGTAGATCGATGTTCATGATGTTGATCACTGGATTGTCTGATGCAGACTCAATTATTTACAGACTGCCTCCATATAGCTGGAATATTGCTGAGTGTGACGTAAAACAAACCAACCAACATGTGGGATTCTATCTTTATATTGGTGTGTCATACCCAGGTTAATTCCTAGTTAGAATTTGTCCCCAAGCCAGTACATGGTGTTGTAAGAGGTGACAAATACATTTAAGGCCCAGTGATGTGATTGATTGCATGTCGTTGTAGCCCTACAGCAGGGAACATTGCTGCTAATATTTATCACTGAAGTGTCTGGTCCGAGCTCAGTTATTTACTGAATGCCTTCATATGGCTGGAATATGGGTGATTGTGGCATTAAACATAAATATGTGAATGAAATAAGATATGTAATGGTCTAGTCGCTGTAGTTTGCACTGCTTGTGCTGTTTCTGATAACGTCTGTATTCCACTTCAGATCTTCACTCGATTCTTGCGTAGCTTCAACCTGCCAGTTGGATCCCAGCAAGTACCAAACAAGGCCAACAACTGCTATGACATCAACCAGACAGTCCAATGGATTGTATCTTTGCTGGTGAGTAGTAAGAATCATCAGTTTCTGGGCCTTTCTAACGAAGCATGAATGATATCAGATATTCTTGCATTTGTATATTGTATCATGAAAGTATATGTATGGATGGTAAATATTTGAAACTTCATGCTCACATGTGGATTCAAATAAAATGGAGGGTTAACAAATCTACAGGTGTCATAGTTTCAACTGAGCCAAGTGAGACAAATGTTTTACTCCAATACTGCCTTTGTCCAGATCTGAGAACATCTTCATAGAAGGTCACATGAGGAGAACTCAGTCAAAACGATAAATGATGCACACACAAGATCTTGAGGCAATCACGTGTCATCTCTCTAAAACCATTCTTTAACAGGGGGCGGTGGGATGGCCATGTGATTAAAGTGTTCACTTATCATGTCGAAGGCCTGGGGTCAAGTCACCACATGGGTACAATGTATGAAGCATATTTCAGGTGTCCCCCTTTGCGATATTGCTGGAATATTGCTAAGCGGCTTAAAACCCTGATCACTATTTCTTAAGCACATTCATTTGGTACTTTCTGTATGGCCAAAACAAAATACGGCCACAGAACAACAGCAAATCGGCTACGGTAATCTTTTTTATGCAGAATCCATGATGATAACAAATGAGAAGGTTTATGAAACAATGTCACAAAGAATCTAACTATGTGGTAGTATGTTTTCATATTTGGGTTTCAATTATATTTATTTTGAAGATGCAGAAATCAGATATTCTGAATGCATCACTGGCTCATACCAAGAACTTAGAAGCCTTGGTGCCGATAGGCTGGTTAGAAAGTTCACTTAACATGAGCACCTCAGGTGTCCTCAGATCTCCATGCATAGATTTGTCACATGCGATTAAGCAACATGTTTGCTACTTCCAGGGAGGAAACAACTCTGTCCAGCAACGTGTGACGAAACTCTTCAAGGCCCTGCAGTCCTTCTACTACCCCTCTAATGTTGGCAGATGGAATGTGAGTACTTACATGGAAATACTGGAACATTTTCCCAAACATAGCTATAGTCAACAAAATGTTGTTGTTAATGTTCTAATCACCTGAGTGAGTCTGTGGCTCTTACAGATGTCTATTTTATGTTTTTCAGGTGAAGCTGAGTGGTCTTCTTATGGCATTCCCTAAACACTTCATCAGGAGATTGCACAGGTAAGAAGAATAGATACCATAATAAATACACACTGTGACATGAACCAATTAATCCTTCACTTTGTTTGAAATGTTTGTTTATTAACCTGTAGCTGGCTGAATTACTTAGATAGACTTGATTTCAAAGCCGCAAAACACAACAATTTATCCTCTATTCCAAATTGAGCATCCTTGCCAGGCAGTTGTTACTTTCTCAGTGAAATAGACATGTTACCTGTCCAAGTCCTATGTTAAGTTGTTACTAAGTAACTTGAGTTGGGAAGTTTGTAAAAAAAACCCTTGGAAATGTTTTCTGACAGAGGTTGAATGCAAGGCTAGAAAAATCCTTGAAAACCTCTGCTGCTTGGTACTCAGTTATTCCAACAGTTACTTCCAAGTTAAGTTATGATTGGTGCAGATTACATTTTGTCGGGCAAATAGAAAGTGTTTACCCTAAACTGGCCTTGTAGTCAAATCCTATGTGTTCCCATCAGTGCGTAGTGCCTGAGATTTGTAAGTTGTGATTTAACAGAGAGAGATACCAGAAGCCCAGCTGGGAGACGCGCATCCCCGAGGCCATGCACCTGACGGAGGATGACATCACAGAGTTTGTCAGTTGCATGAAGAATGTTACCTTTGTGGCCATGTTCGGTAAACATGGCAGTCAGGATGCAGCTGTCGCTCTTCGCCATCTTGCCACCATGAGACCCGAGTTGACTGTTCCACCACTGCTAGAAACGTGAGTACATTGATAGTTGTAGTTCTAAGACTCTAAGACTGAATCATGTGAATGTAGGAAATTCATCTGGGTTATTTAGCAATATACTGTGAGGAAATCTTCTGTGTTCACTGTTGTACCTGCCCTTGATAACTGTTGTTTGTATTCAACATATCACAAATGGGGCAGACCCCCAAAGAAACTTCTCCTCGGATTATATACTGTAAACGTATTATATTTCGCGCAGGTTTTATTTTCGAGCTATTCACGCAAAATATTTTAAGCTTTAAAAAATTTATACACCGCTTGAATAAACCTGTCATTCATTCAGTCTAGCCCGCTTCGCCCTGAGTTGTTACCATAACACATCAAGTTTGAAGACAGAAATCACGGGGAATCTTGAAATGGCGACTGATAGTAGCATAAAGAATCATACTTAACTGTCGCTGTAATGGATTTCCCAAAACATAATTAAATAATGAGCCAAATCCCATCGCCAAATTAGCGAAAACAGCAATGTGTGTTGTGGCCGCCATGGAAATTGATCACATGACAGATGGTTTGATACAAAACAGATTACCATGAAACGACTCGGAAAGAAATAATACAGCAGTATTTTATTTATTCATTAAGATTTTATTTTCCAGTACATCATGAAGCGAATAGTCACTTAACACTCAATCATCTCATTCACAACAACCGGCTTGTTTGAAATCACAAAGAGCTTCATATACAGTAGAAGTTAATTAGATCAGATCGTCAGAATTGAACATAAGACTGATGTGTTTTCATCTCTTCTGTGAGTAGCGGATTACTGTGTACTAGTATATCGCACAGATAGGGATTTCCTGTGAGTAAGCAATAAACGCCGCCTGACAGGTTAAGCCACTCTGTTTGTTTTCACTGCTATTAGTGGCGGCCAAAGAGACAGCTGGCAGTTCCGGCAATTACTGATTGCACGAATAATTGACCGAGCGATGTAGTCTAAACTGTCAATTCCGCGAAAATTGCACCACGCGAAAATAAGTACGTTTACAGTATTCTTCCACTTTATTGTCCCCCGCTGCAACGCGGAACGGGGGACTATGTATTCAGCGGCGTCCGTCCGTACGTCCCGATTCTTGTTAATGCGATATCTGATGAACTGTTGTACCCAATGTCTTCAAATTTGGTGACAGCCTACATTGGGAGATTATGCAGACACCAGTCGATTTGGGTGACCTTGACCTTATTTTCAAGGTCACCACGACACTGACCACTTTTCAAACTCTTGTTAACGCGATATCTCATGAAATGTTGTACCCAATGTCTTCAAATTTGGTGACAGCCTACATTGGGGGATTTCACAGACACGAGTGTATTTAGGTGACCTTGACCTTATTTTCAAGGTCACCACGACACTTTGAACACTTTTCAAACTCTTCTTAACACGACATCTCATGGACTGTTGTACCCAATGTCTTCAAATTTGGTGACAGCATACATTGGGGGATTATGCAGACACCAGTTGATTTTGGGTGACCTTGACCTTATCCTCAAGGTCACCACGACACTTTTCACACTTTTAACTCTTGTTAACGCGATATCTCATGGACTGTTATACCCAATGTCTTCAAATTTGGTGACAGTTTACATTGGGGTATTACACAGACACCAGTTTATTTGGGTGACCTTGACCTTATCTTCAAGGTCACCACAATACTTTGACCGCTTTTTAAAGGCAATGTTTTCAAGTATGTTGACAGCCTACATCGGGTGATTATGCAGACACCAGTCATTTCAGGCATCTTGTATGTGACCCCCCCTTAAAAGTAGTAAATATAGATATTCCATTCTTTAGCAGCGGGGGACATTGCCATATCAGTGGCAAACACTTGTTTTATTGGGTCCCATGGTTTTCATCTTTCTTGATCCACTTTTCTTTGATTTCAGTATGTATCCTGCATTGGAGACACTGATAGAACCTCACCGCCTGATAGCATGCATGAACTGTATCGTGGCCGTGGCTCGGCCGATGTTGAGGGCAGGGAAATGGTACCCCCAGGGCCCCACCCATCTCCTCCCCCTCCTCAATCTCTCACTCCCAGGCATCGACCCCAATGACTTCAAAAAATGTCTGGTAAGTAGTGAATGCTGTTATTCTTTTTCAGAAGAAGTCCTCCTTGGGGTACATATAAGCATTAAAATGTCCATTTTAAATCCTCGACAGTTGTAACTATATTTTTAATAAAATATTTACAAAACAAAAACTTCGTTTTGTCTTGTGAGACCACCCTACAGGGCCCACGGACCAACACAGCCAAGAGCAGGTAACTCTCGCCCGTCTACCTCGTACCTCACTTTTCATGCTGTCGTTCTGTTGAATAGGCGTGCGTGGTGTTAGTTCGAGTTTGCTCTCCTACCGATCACGATGAGTGTAAAAGAGTCTCAATCTGTATGTATGGTTCCTTTTCTACGCATGCGAGGCGTTAGATGGGCGTCATATGTGGATATTTTCATTCATCTTTTGTTGTAACTTTGCCGTGGGTTCTCTGTTTTCCAGCCATGTGGCAGGCAAAATGGCGGACAGCGATCGTGGTTTCCTTGCTATATGTTCTTGGTAGCTTGTAGTAGGGAGTTCATATATTATGTTTGCATATTATATGGTAGGCTTGCCTAAATTCTCTTTCTTTTCAGCGAATTTGTGGTAAGTCGTTGTTGAGTAATTTTGATAGTGTTAGTTTAGGTATCACTCAACTTTACTCTATCACTAGTACGCAGGGGTGGCTAGCCTTTTTCTGCTTTGCATTGTATGTTTAGTATTTAAATGGCTGTAGCTTGTAGCATTTATATATAAGCCCGTCGCGGATTATTCTTGCTATTACTTGTGTTTATGTGTTTGCTGCTTCACAGTTCCTGCTAGTAACACTGGCGTGGTTCTGTTTGTTGCAGTTTAAGCCCTGTCGCGTTGTGCCATGCACACTACGCCACAGGATGGTTATAAAGTGTGCCTCCGGTGTTTAGCGAGGGCGGCTCCACGACGATCAAGGATGCTCATAATAAGCGCCCTTGCGTCAATATTCCTGTTACATTATGTTGTATTATGATACATATTTCATACGTTTACACACAGCGTGGCTCATAGGCGAGGTTGTGGTTTTGTCTGGGTTTCTCGCCTCCGCGGCATTCTTTCCGACAACGCCAGATTTTATGTTTTCACTAATCTGCTTCAGGCGGGGATAATATTTGATAAAAGGTTTCTAAGGAAATCCCTTTATCGTTTCCCCATAAACAATGTTGCTGACTTAAATATGACTCAATTTGCTTCACTATTGCAGCAACATATTCTTCAACATAATGTCAATTCGATGATTGATAAGCGATGTCGGGCTCCGTAAGGGCTTCGGCTCGCATAAAGTGTTGATCTCGAAGGTAAGTTCACCAGGTGTCGTCTGTGGTGAAATTCCGCCCGATTGACCGCGGTGCTGTCTGGGTTCGCAAGGAGCTCAACCGCGCCTGTCGTCGGGGTGGATCGGGCGCATCTGGGGGTTGGCTGCGGCCCGAGCTCTGGCTCGGAGAGCAGCGCCTCCTCCCAGGCAGCTTGATCCTGGCCGGCTCAGGTGATGGTGTGCCCGGCACCTTGTGGCGACCTAAGCCGGGCTCAGGTTCGTCGCGAGCCTGGCGCCCGGCGATGCAGGTTTTGCCCTGTCTTAGCCTGGTGCCCTGACTGGCGATCGCCTAAGCGCAGACCAGCTCGGGGACACCTCGGCCGCCGGCACCTTGTGGCGACCTAGCCGGGCTCAGGTTCGTCGCGAGCCTGGCGCCCGGCGATGCAGGTTTAAGCCCTGCAGGTTTTGCCCTGGTGCCCTGACTGGCGGTCGCCTGGCGCCGACCAGCTCGGGGACACCTCGGCATGCGTGGTCAGTCGGGGTTGCCGGGAAACCTGTATATCGGCAGGTTCCTCTCGGCCCGGTCTGGGTTCCACTGAGCTGCCGATCACCTCGGCTCCTAGGTCTACCTGTGTCCACCAGGGGCAACCTGCATTGCCAGGCTACTCCCTTGTGTGTCACCGGGACTGCAGATCGGACTAGCACCGACCTGGGCCCGGCCCGATGCGGAGCAGATCCCGGCTGTTAGCTCAGGTCGGCCTGATGTCTATCGATGCCCTGGCCAAGAGGCGTTGAGTGTGACGAGCTGCCGATCACCTCGGCTGGCGCCGAGGTCTACCGTGCACTTACACCAGGGGAGCCCTGCATTGTCAGGCCACTCCCATGTGTTGGGGATCGGGGTTGAACTTCGAACCGCCGACCCGAGCACTGGCGATACATACATGTGTATGTATGGGTATTTATATAAGCGCTATAGGCTATGTTTGACTATATCGCTCAGTGCGCTTTGGAGAGTACTGGGGAAACCTGATTTATCAGGCTACTCCTCGTGTCACCGGGATCGGGGTTCGGTCTAGAACAGCTGAGCTTCGGCTCTGCGGATTCTCTGAACCCGTGGGTAAGCGCCGACCCAGGCCGGCACTGGTAGGCGCAGATTCCGACTCCGGTAGTTCAGGTCTCGGCGCCCGGTAGTTCAGGTCTCGGCCTGATGTCTATCGGCGTATTGACCTAGATGCCATCGAGTGTGCGGGTGTGACTGTCACCCGCGCGCTCGAGGTCTGTCTGAGTGCTTGTGAAACCTTGATTGTCAGGCTTCTCACATGTGCCTCGGAATCGGGGTTCAGGCTTCATTACAGTGGACAAGTCGATTTGAGCCGGCTCATTTAAGCTACTTTGAACTTACCACTAAGTAGGTTAGTCCCTGAGGGCAAGTCGCGAGATAGAATCGGCGGCTGTGTTGCCTCAGGTGTTGTCCATGTCGACTACCGAACCGTTGGAGTTAAGCCTCCGGAGGAAGCCTGCTTCAACCGCGGCATCGGGACAAGGCCTCACACTCTCCCTTAAGTCTGCCGTTCTTTCCCCTTCACAGCTCAGCGCTGTATGCTCCACTTTCGGCATCTCTCTCAGCTGCTGAGGAGCTGGTGGAAAGGGGAAGCGCCCGGTGGAATTTTACCGTCGGCGACTCTGGGCGGCATCTGGCGGGGGCAACTCTCATCTGGCTAGGGACTGCATTGTAGCTGTGCCAGTCAAATGATGAGGCGGTTATGGGCATATCGCCGGGACAGTTCGAGGAATCACGGAAGTCTGTTGAGCTTCGTTACTTCCTCAGGTGCCCAGGCATCGGCAAGCGTTAAGTTGCCGACTGCTGGGAGTTACTATATTCTGCGCAAACACCGGCGGGCGACACACTCCTGTGTCGGCTTCCGGAAGGCGGCGACAATACTCCGTGCCCAGATCCAGTCTTTGCTGGGCTAGGCAACCAGTGTGGTGGTTTCAATGGTCAGGAATATGTGGGGTTTGACTCCACTTATTTCATAGTTGCCATTCTGAGCGGAATGTTCAGACCCATTCTCATCTGAGAGCTGAACAAGTTTATAGAGGTACTGTCCTTCAAGATGGAGACACGGCTCGGTGATCTCATCTGCGAGACAGGGGATTGGCGCGCGTCAATCGACCACCAGTCAGCGTACCTCCTTGTTCCATTGCACCCTGATTTCAAGATTGCAGCCGGTTTCTTGTTTGGCGGGGCGTGCTACCAGTTTCGTGTGCTCTCCTTAGGCTACATTCACGGTGCCAAGGGTGTTCACCAAATTGAGGTTTATTACAGCTCAGATAGCCAGATCGCAGTGCGGTGTTGTCACCCGTACATAGGCGACTGACTCATCGTGGTTTCAGATAACTGTTGAGTCTGGGGACCTCCACGATCAGTTCTGAAACTGGGCGGAATTGTCAACCTCGCAGTCAGATGGACAGGCGTCAGGCGTCTCTCGAGGTCCCCACCCTGGAGACACCGTCGCTCTCAGTCCAGCCAGATACATCCCTACCGGGTTAGAGGCGATGTTCTGGGTGACCTGCAGCCTCTTGAGGCGAAGTCACAACCTGCACATCAATGTGCTGGAATTGACAGCAGTCAGGTTGGTGTTCGATCCATGCGCCGGGATTGAATTACCTCTTCGACCAGACATTCTCACTCTGCGCGAGCCACACCGAATCCTCGGATTCACTGGGTGGCTTGGCCTCTGTCGGGTATAAACCTGCGAATTCCTGCAACCGTTGCAGACACAATTCTGCCTGGGATTTGACACCCGTTCAGTGTGTTGATAGGTGGGAAGCTGGTGTGCAGATAGGGGATTTCATAATCCCTATTCTGCGGACTTAGTTCGGATATTGGAGTTACTATAACCTCGTTTTGGTTGAGAGCCTTATGACCTCCACCATTGCGGGTACTCCATGGCTATTTCCGCGTTTCACACCTCGTTCGATGGTGCTCTGCCTAGAGCAGCATCTCTCGTACATCGGCGTCGTAGCTGGCATGAACAGGGTTCGACCGCCTCGTCGGCGACCAGCCCACCTTAAAATTGCCACTTATTCACAATTGGCTGTCTGGCCCTAATTTTTCAAGTATATCGTCTCTCTCACTTCACTTGTTGGCGTGGAAGGCGACTTTACTGTTGTGGTGAACTCTGGTAGAAGGGTCGGGTACATCCATGCGATTCCCACTGACCCGACACTGACAGTATTTTATACTGATCATGTCGTATTCGACTCCGGATACCTACCACTCTCAGTCGCGATATTGCTTTCCCGTGACTGCTCATATCGCACTTCCACTACCCAGCCTTCGCGCGGGGACCAATCTTTCGATTGCTCACCCGTGCCTGTCCGAAACGAGCGAACAAAGGGATCGATGCGGGTACCCATGTGTGCTGTTTGGTGGCGGGAAGACTGGGGAGTCTGCTAACAAAGCGCACTTTATCTCGTTGGCTTGTTTCCGTAATTGTATGGTTACAATGATACGGTTTACCTCCCGAGGGTTGAAGGCAGACTGGGTAGGGCAGATGCGCTTTGTTGACAATACACAGCGGCACTGCTCAATGAAAGATCGGTTCTGTGGCTCTTTGGAGCCAGCAGAGCGCCTTCATTCGCCATTACCAACTTGATGCGCATTCTAAGGATGGAGTGCTTTCGGTTGATCTTCGGTTCTCTCCAGTGGAAGTGACCTGCCACCCTGACCAAGTTAGTAACTGGTCATTGGTATCGGTTCTGTGTTCAATGTCGATATATTTCATATCACTACATCATTATTAGCCTTACCATCCTTTCGGGTTGGGTCGGGTTTGGGTGTACATCGTCCCTTACGTCCCCTTCAAGAGGCGGGGTCCGTTTTGAGCAGCTTTAACCAGTCATATGCTATTAACCCGTCTTGCGGCGGCGGGTGGAGTCGCGAACCCCCACGGGGCACTGTTTGGTATGCCTCTCTTGAGCGCGCATGTCGCGTGACCAGGTTAGTGTAATGGTGAGCCAACATATGTTGACTTCGGCTTTTAAGCTATTCAGGGGATTTTTATGCGGCTTACAGTTTTCCCTCTTCGAGCCGCCGGTATTTGGGAGTCTGTGTTAATCAGCTTTGTGGGATGGTGGCCTACACTTACCCTCCTCGCGCCGAGAGTGTTTGGTGGGGTGTTTTCACTTTCATTACAATGCATGGCGTTTGTACTTTCGTTCGATTTCCTCAGAAAGTTTTAGCGAGGCTAATAATTTCTCTGGGTTTTATCGAGGTCGGCAAGCCCTCTTCCAAACAGGGGCTGCATTCGAGCATTAGTTTGCAGTACTTATTAGCTCGACTCCTGGGTTATTGGCTTTGTAGCGTTTAAATTTTTTACGCTTTCCCTACCCTTATACCTCTCGCCACGATTGTCTGGCTGGGGCTATATTAGGGTTGGGAGTTGTTTCGACATGTCCCCATACATTCCTTCCATTGTAATGGTTGGGGCGGGGTTTTATGTCATTGATATTGAGCCAATTGACATATAAGCTTGGGCTCTCTAGTTCCGCCCGTCTGATTGACATCAGCGGTCAGGTGGCTCGGTGTTTTCTATTTTCGTATCGGTTGTAGATTTCCTCCACCGCGGGTTTAGTTGTTGCCAGACAGAATGCCACTCCGTCTCAAATATCTTTGGGAGTCTGTCATATGCTTATATGTACCCCAAGGAGGACTTCTTCTGAAAAGAATTATACAAACCTGTAGAGGTTATGAATTCTTTGAAGAAAGTCCTCCTTGAGAGTCTGAAAACCACCCGCCTCCCCTCATTCTGTCTGACCGTTCAGCATGAAAAGTGAGTCACGAGGTAGGCGGCGAGAGTTACCTGCTCTTGGCTGTGTTGGTCGGTGGGGCCCTGTAGGGGTGGTCTCACAAGACAAAAGCGAGTTTTTGTTTTGTAAATATTTTATTAAAATATAGTTACAACTGTCGTAGGATTTAAAATGGACATTTTAATGCTTATATGTACCCCAAGGAGGACTTTCTTCAAAGAATTCATAACCTCTACAGGTTTGTATAAATTAGCAGCATTGATTCTTATTACTTAATAGTTTTACTGTACATGAAGGGACACGAAATTATCTGAAGTATCTCCAAGGACCCTTCATTTCTGAGCTGATGTTGCTTTGTCATTTTGTTTTGTCCCACCTGGCCAAAAGAAGGTATCCAAATGTCACGGTATTAAACCTGGTGGTGTCACAGGGTTAGGTCCTAATTCTGACAATGCTATCTCAGTTCTTGCATACAGTTACATGTGTGTTAGGTTTAAGACAATGCTGGTGATATTTGTATCATATCATCTAACATGTTCATCCCTCTTCTATATTTGATGTGGTTGATGTCATCATGGCCATGGTAAGCAATGCTAAGATCTGCCATAGGTCTTGAAAATCTGCTCTGGATCTGAGTCATGTAGAGTATTGATATATGAGTATGATATATTTGATGTGGTTTGTAGCATGCAAGTACTGATTGTTTGATCGGCATTCTAGAAGTTGATAGGACAACAATAAACCATATGTATTAATGAATAACAAGTTCTTGTTTATTACATAGAGCAACGTTTCGGTTAAGGTTCTTATACCGTTTTCAAGCGAAAAGTGACTGCACGAAACATTGGTCAATGCAATAAACAAGAAGTTGTTATCCATTTAGTCGTGTGCTTTATTATGTAACTACTGATCGTATTTCAGGAGGAGAAGGAAGTTTGCATGGCAACGGCCCAGTTTGAGGACTGGGTGCTGCAGTACCTGGACCGGGTGTTCACGCTGGTGGAGAACAGTGCCCAGGAGTCTACTTGTGGAGCCCAGGACAGGCTCAACCCAGAGCAGAGCATGCTGGAGGTGGGCATGGCGTCAACCACCACCTCCGTGCTGCAGCAGTGTTCAGGACCCATATTTGATGTAAGTGGATGATTTGTGTTGATATTGGATAGAGTAACGTTCATGGAATATAAAACTAAATAATGATGCTGCTTTCTGGGCAGATGAGAACATCAGGAAATTCTAGTGTTGTTTGGGAGAAACTATAAGCTGGGAACAGCCAGAAGAAATTAAGTGAAATGCAAGAAATGCTGACACTGTTTTGGATTATTTGTTGCAGTCTGCAGTGAGAAGGCTACACAGGTTCCTCACTGGCAATGTGTACGAGACCAAGGTCAGCGGCAGGTTCGCAGCCAACCTCTGCAGGTCTGCAGCCAAGGTATGTACATAAGGGGAGCAACACTGACGTCAGAGATGCCAGTCATTATGATATTGAACCAAAGACTTCAGGTAAAACTGAGTCTACCAGATCAGAGTGTCACACAATGAATTTAAGATTGGGTTGAGCTTTGACCACATGTTTCACTTATGGTGAAGTGAAAACCAGCATCATGGTAGTATTAACATTACTCTTTTTCCCATTAAATCATGTAGGGGTTTTCCCCCAATGACTACAACAAAGCCTTGGAGTCCAGTTTCACAAAGCAGTTTTGTCTGAGGTGATCGTTACTTCCACTTTCAGGGGTGGAAATAACCCATTGCCCGACGCCCGAGTCCAGTGTTTTTTTCTGTCGGGCAAGCAGATTTGTATATCACACTGTACCGGTGTCCAGTTGATATTCCAATGTTAGTTATGTTGTTTATTTAAAAGATCAACAAGAAAACGGCCGGTATAGTGGAACAATTATCAGGGCAGTGATTTTACATGTGCCACTGTACCGGAGTACACTAGCAATTTTAAAGTTATTTTAACCCCTGACTTTTACACAGGCTAACAATGTTCACACCACCATGATCACTGAAAGGGACCCTGGTTAATACCACAGCAAGATCTCAACCATACAGTGTTTTGTGTTTCGATTATCAGTATTTAGTTTTCTTTACGTGAGGCAATACATTTAGTATCCCAAATGAAGGGAATTGGGTGTCTTTTTGATAATTCTATAATACATTTTCTCCTGGTTACCTGCAGGTTCACCCAGCAAAGACGCTGAAGCTGTTTCTCACACACTTCTGTAGCAGAATTGTGAACTACTGCAAGGAACGTAAGTGGGGTATAGCAGGGAAAACTTCCATCTGTGGGTGACTATATCTTCACCCACAAGGTTTAAAAAGGACACAGAATAGATTGGTGGTTAACAGATATCTTGGAGGCATGTTATTGCACCCAGATCTCTGTGTGTTGTTACTCAAGCTATTGATTACTGGTTTGTTATCCCCCGGCGCGCGTTTAGCGAGAAGCGGGGGATATAGTATTAGGCTCCGTACGTACGTACGTACAAATTGGAATATCTTTAGAACCGTTCACTAGATTCTTTTCATATTTGGTACCTAGGTTCATCACAGTATAAGAAAGGTCCAAGTCAGGTTTGGTGACCTTGACCTTCATTTCAAGGTCACAAGGGGACTTTAACGTTTTACCTGCATGTTAAGCTATCTCAAGAACTGTTCCCTGGATTTTCTTCATATTCAATACCAAGCTTTATCTAGGGAAGGTGCAGGGCCCAGTCAATCTTGGTGACCTTCACATAATTTTTAGGGTCATGGCAACACTTTGAAGATTTCATCATGTAAACCTGCATGTTAATCTATCTCAAGAACTGTTCCCTGGATTTTCTTCATATTCAATACCAAGCTTTATCTAGGGAAGGTGCAGGGCCCTGTCAATTTTGGTGACCTTCACATAATTTTTAGGGTCACGACAACACTTCAGCATGTTAACCTGAATTGTCAGCAAGATATTTTAAGAACGGTTCACTGGATTTTCTTCATAGATTTTAAAGACTTTCCTTGAATGTTTTTCAATAAGCAATTTCTTTAGTACTAGTTTTGCATATTTTATACACTATGACATTTATGTCAAGGTCAAAGTCAGTCTTGAAAATATGTGTGTGTTTGAACAACTAAAGAGCCAGATATCAAGAGAGGTTGATTAGTCATGTTTTTGTTGACATTTAACTTCATCTTAAACTTTCATTACTTTATAAGTTTGATTTGATCATTTGCGGCGGGGGATCATGTGACCTTAGTGACAATGCTTGTTTACTCAGTATTCAGGCCACTATGACTATTTTTAACCCTAATATTTAAGCAATGACTGGTGAAACAATTTGCAGCCATTGAATGTTACTCTATTGTCTGCAAGTCAAAGACTACAACATTATGCTGAGAATGAGTAGAAATAGTAATGGTGGGCCTCACTGACTATTATACTTTGAGGGCTATCATTCTAAACCAGTTTCAATGCTTTAGTTATGCTATAAATCCTAGCAGAATAAAACTAAAAATGTGAACATTGGAAACAACCTCTTTGGAGTTGTGATTCTTCAAATTAGGTTTACACTGGTAATTTGTATAAGACCTAGTAAATGCAAATGTCTTCAGCAGAATGTGCAGTCACTCTGTCACTCACTCAGACCGACCCTTGACAGAGATTAGCACATTCCAGTAGAAATATAACATGTTGTTTTGTTTCAGATGGTGATATTCAAAAAGAGGAACACCTGGATGACAGTTTTCTGTGGAACCTGCAGATGCTCACACAGGTAGGATGTCCTGGGAATTTATTAAGTCAAGAATTCCTCACAAGTATTTAGTGCTTTGGAAAACTTCAAATGATGCGTGGCTAATTGTTATAAGTCAAAATCCTGTATATTCCAAGCAAGGGTATACAGATGTCTGCCTTGAAAGTGTTAGGAAATGTCGGCATTATTATCCAGGTTCCCACATGGTTGGCTTCGAGTAAGTTTTTACAGGTTTTCAATGATCTTACAACCAATAGCTAAATAAATGCCAGACTGTTGTGATACTGTCCTCCTGACACATTAGGCCCCAGTCAGGTTTGGTGACCTTGACCTTCATTTGAAGGTCACAAGGGGACTTTAACGTTTTACCCTTGTCAGCAAGCTGTCTCAAGAACCGTTCACTGGATTTTCTTCATATTCAACGCCAAGCTTTACCTAGGGAAAGCGCAGGGCCCAGTCGATTTTGGTGACCTTCCCTGAATTTTCAAGGTCACAGCGACATTTTGAAGATTTCAGCATGTTAAGCTTGTCAGCGAGCTATCTCAAGAACCGTTCACTGGATTTTCTTCTTATTCAACACCAAGCTTTATCTAGAGAAGGCGCAGGGCCCAGTCGATTTTGGTGGTTTCAAGGTCACAGCGACACTGAAGATTTCAGCATGTTAACCAGCATGTTAAGATTGTCAGTGAGATATCTCAAGAACCATTCACTGGCGTTTCTTCATATTTGACACCAAGCTTCATCTAGGGAAGCTGCAGGGTCCAGTCGATTTTTGTGACCTTCACAAAATTTTCAAGGTCACGGCGACACTTTGAAGATTTCAGCATGTTGAGCTGCATGTTAAGATTGTCAGCGAGATATCTCAAGAACAGTTCACTGGATTTTCTCCATGGACTTTCAAGATTTCCCTTGAATGTTTTTCAATAAGCAATTATTACTATTTTTGCATATTTCATACACTAAGACATTCATGTCAAGGTCAAAGTCAGTCTTGAAAATATTTGTGCATCTGAACAACTACAGAACAAGATATCAAGAGACGTTGACTGGTCATGTTTTTGTTGACATTTAACTTCATCTTAAATTACGACCTTCACTTTCATTACTTTTTAAGTTTGATTTCATAATTTGCAGCGGGGGATTATGTCACCTTAGTGACAATGCTTGTTGTATTTGTTCCAAACGAACTACAGTCATGCATCAACATTAAGACTCCAGTACAATGTATTGTTTCTCCCTTCCAGCTGGTACGGTGTAACGGTAAGGAGCTGCTCCAGTACAAGGACTCGCTGGAGGAGGTTCTGTCCCTGACGCTGACCCTGCAGTGTGTACAGGGATATGAGATGGCTGGTATGCTGCTGAGGTACCTGCTGAGGGCGCTCGTACTCACTTACCCGCAGGAATACCGCAGCACGTCCCACAGCTTTGATAGACCGCTGGAGGAATACCTACCTATCAGAGTAAGTCACAGAAGTCTACAGTGAGCTTGCACTTCACATACCGAAATAACCACATATGCCTAGACTGCCTCAGATATTAGTATTCAATCCGAGTCATTTGAACATCCCAGATTAAGAAATTCCCTTTTCAGTTTAATACAAATAGTGTATACTTACAACTAATGTAATGACTCTGTAGACATGATTTGTATTTTACTTATTACAGGGTCAGTGTGAAGAAAGACTTTCATGTAGTTTTACATTATTGCATTGAATACAGTGTAGGAATACAGTGTTAAAAGGCCACTGAATTAAAGAAAATAAGAACATGACGCTTCCCATCGTATTTGTCGGGAAATCCTATATAAATCCTAGGGCTGCGCAATATAACCAGTTTACCGGTTTACCGGTTCAGACATGAAAACGATACGTTTTGCGAAACGCTGATCGAAAACCGGTATTTTAACAAGCAATCGGAAAACTTCGTAACACTCGGAAATCTTCGAATATTTCTGTTTTTACATTGGTCCTTTCCTTGTTTCATTTGTGCCAAACATTATTTACATTTTTATTTTGTCATGATTAAAAGTTTTTATTAAAGCCTAATCAAGCATTGTGAATTTGTTGTGTTTTTGCTTTATAAATCAAGCATTAACTCGACTATAAGTAGTTTTTTGTTAAAAAAAACTTCTTGCAATATATTGCAATACATATCGCAATACATGCTTGCGATCATGTATATCACAATATGAAAATTCCCTGCAATACCCACCCCTAATAAATCCCTGAGTTGTACAGATACTAGGTGATTTGTTCATTTATGATTTGAGAGATGGCTTGGCATCCATCTTGAACAACTTTAAGCTGTCTTTATACAGACACCAGTGGATGTGAAATATTGTCAATGTGAGGTGTACCAAGACTTTTTCTTGGTTTGTGTTATAGTATACCAGTTCTTTGATTATTATGAAGATTATTTAGGATATAGGTTTGAGCTCCGTCCGTCCGAGATGATTGGGACGGAATTTCTCAAAAAACCGTTATAGAAAGGGAAACGAAATTTGAGATGTACTTTCAGGATATGAATGCCTTGATGAAGGTCAAAAAGGGAAACCGTGTTATAACTTGTTGCAGAGTTATGGCCCTTGTCATGCATTTCTTGACTTGGTGCAATGGCGACAGATTTTCTCAGCAACCGTTGGGGACAAATTTTCTCAGAAACCGTTATAGATAGGGAAACCGAATGTGGTATGTGTTTTCAGGACATGAATGCCATGATGGAGTTCGAATACAGAAACCGTGTTACAATTTGGTACAGAGTTATGGCTGTTGTCAATTGTTTCTTTACTTAGTGAAACCTTCAGTAACCTATGCTTGTCGTAAGAGGCGACTAACAGGATTGAGTGGTCAGGCTCGCTGACTTGGTTGACACGTCATCGGTTCCCAATTGCGCAGATTGATGCTCATGTTGTTTGATCACTGGATTGTCTGGTCAAGACTCAGTTATTTACAGACCGCCGCCATAAAGCTGGAATATTGCTGAGTGCAGCGTAAAACTAAACTCTCTCATTCACTCAGGACATGAGTGTTGTGGTGGAGTTAAAAAACAGGAACCAGATACGAACAGAACACTGTGGTGGGGGGAAATTGATGACCATGTCTTCTTGTTTAACTCCTTTTGATAAGACTTTGCTAATGGGCTTTAGTCCTACCCCATACTGAAGCACATGTACCCCAAGTGTCATCACCTTGGGCAAAAGAACATTTGAAATATGCCTGTGTCCACACAGCAATACATGGGTACCTGGTAGGATGAGATGGTAATGTGTCTGTTAAGCTACTAGCACTTTACAGGCAGCTTGAGTTGAATTAAATTAAAGATTCCATACTCATTCATTGACCAGATTAACAATAATCCATGCTTTTTTAAGCTAGCATTGCATATGGAGCTATTCACTTTACAAGTTGACTATTATCTTTATGAGCAGGTATTCATGTATTTCATCATTGTGTGGTGTGTACCGACAGGACTGGGCAGTGCCTGGAGACCTCCACAACCTGGACATTGAGTGGCATATACCCAACCAAGCAGAGATGGACTTCGCTGGGGAGATCCTCAGCAAGTTCCTGGCTCCAGAGCTGAAGCTCATCAAGAACATAAAGGATGACACACAGGCCCCCACTAGGTACTGTGCATCCTCAGATGTCCAGTTAGTAAATAGGGTAGTACATAAGTGTGAATATCATTCATGAGGTTCTGAGTAATAATTGTGCTATTGTCACAACAGAATGACATGATTAACAGTTCCCTCAGAGGTGAGGTGAGGTGAAATTGGGTTTAACATCGTGCTTGAGAATATTTCGCTCATATGACGACGTGCATGCGTGTGTATGTGTATGTGCGGCTGCTTGTACTAGCCCAGACTGAAGCTGGTTTTATAGTGCTAGCCCACTGAGATACCACGCCGCAGTGAAGCATGAATACCCCACTCAGACACATTATACTGACTCCGAGCCGACCAGTCCTTGTTGTACCCATTAATGCGGAGCGCCAGGCAGGGACCAACAAGTACCATATTTTAACGTCTTTTGGTATGACGCGGTGGGGGATCGAACCCGCGACCTTCCGCTCTCCAGGCGGACGCTCTAACCACTACACCACGGAGGCGGTTAGTTCCCTCAGATATTTAATCACTTCAGATTTTTAAATATTGCATATCCTCACAGGATTGTTTCTTATCTTCAGTACCTGCCCGTATATATTTTTGCAACAGCCATTTTTATATTCCTCTGCATGACCACTCAGTCAAAAACATTTGTAATAATGTCAATGAATAAAGTCATAAGTAATTGATAAGAAGTAAAATAAATGTTAAGAGGGATTCAGATGTAAAGTTTTGTTTCCAGGCATAGTATCAGGAGATTACACGTGGCAACTCAGCAGTATATCTATTGTTTATCTATTTCCAGGGAGGATTTGTTGAGGAGGCTGAATATGATCCTGGAAAGTATCCTAGGATCTGCATCACTGCTGCCAATGTGGGAAGGCAAGGCTGTCCCAGTGTAAGTTGACTACTTTCAGTGAGTGACAGTCTGGTGTGGGTCTGTTTTGTACAGTGTATCAGTTCTGTAACAGCTTCTTAAGTTGATGTGGGAGAGCCACAATGAAGATAGGATGAGATATTCAATGATGTACTACCTTAGTGAGAGACCCAAAGATTAATATCAAAGCAAAGTGTTATGTGATCACACAAGATCCTGGTACAGCAAAGGGATGCAACTCCAACTCAAATGGGTTAGAATTGATCTTAAGTAACCCATTCTTGTCGTAAGAGGTGACTAAATCTGACCAACTCCCTGACTTGGTTGACACATGTCATCATATCCCAGTTGTGTAGATTGATGCTCATGCTGTTGATCACTGTGTTGTCTAGTCCAGACCGGGTTATTTACAGACCACTGCCATATAGCTGGAATATTGCTGAGCGTGACATTAAACCACAAACCAACCCATCCAACACAAATGGGTATTCAACACCTTCATAAAGTACAATACCACTTTAGGATGTCTTATATTTGAAGCAAAGGGATTAGTGTTTTGCAAGCAAAATTTATTTACAAGCTGCATGACATAGCTGTTAAACAACAAGCAGTGAAATATGTTTGAAGTTTTGTGATGATCTGGATGTGTGTTTCAGCCTGGAGACAGATGTCCCGATGAACAGATTCAAGTGTTCATCTCATGTTGTGGGAGGTGAGTAGTTGCACACAGTTCTTCAACATGGTGCTCTTATACTCACTGCACCTGTCATTAAACATGTGTTAGATGTTCAGAGATGTTTAGCATTTTGAATTTGAGGTTCTGTGTATGACTTGATCAATCCAGATCCTACGATTCCTCAGTTAACATACAAGTAAATTAGGAAATTAAAGGTTTGTGATTTTAGATATTGGCATCAGGGATTTACAGGACGCGAATTCCTGCGTCCTATACTCATAAAAAATGACAATGGACGCAACCAAATTTATTAGCGCGTCCACAGGGATGCAGAAAAAGTCCAAATACTTTTTGTAAACATTTTGATCAAGTAACAATAAGTTATCACTGAGTCTGCTACTAGCCGGGTTGCCGGTTATGGTATCATTTGCAATTTAATTACTGTAACAATGTGATGATCATGATACACAATACAATAACAGTAACTGAATTACAGCAATATTACAACACAGTATTAATAATAATATTTAGGTGTCTGGGACCCCCATTTTGTAGCCCAGTATGAGTCCCAGGGACCCTCAAATATAGGACAGAAGGTAAATGCCTGTATTGGCATAGTCAAATGTATATTGTCATTACACAGTAACATACAGTTATAACAAGGGACCACCAATTGTAATTAGATTTACACATATCGACTAAAATATACATCGACTGTTCTATCCATCTGTAACATATGTTATATTTGGTATTACACTTTCTTAGTAAAGTACAGATTCTAGTACTTTTGTTGGGTTGAGTCCCATCCGGGATTCGAACCCACACCCTCAGAGTTAGGCACCTAATCGCCTCTTATCAGAGGGGTACACAAAGTCCGCAGTCTAGACTACCAGTTGTCCGACTTCCTTTTTGTGGAAGCCGCGGTGGCTGAACGGTCTAGGTGTCTAGGCGTCTGACTTTGTGTGCTGGCGATTAGGTGCCTGAAGAAAGTGTAATCCCAAATATAACATATGTTACATTTGACCACTTTCTAAATGGCATTGTGTATTTCATGTTATATCCATCGGTTACAACCATGTTCATTATGAATATAGTTCACCGTATGTAATGTTAATCTTGGATGAGGTATTACAACATTTGCTTTGACCAACTTGATATTCCAGAGTTGAAGCTGGATGGGGAGAATGTGAGGAGTTGTGTGGCTGACACCATGAGGCACCTGCTCAGTGAGTTATCTCTCTTGGATTTGTACATTTGGCCAGATAGTGACATATATACTGATTCCAAATGATGACAGAAATAGTTAGTAAGCCCAAGCTATGGTTATGACGCAAAATAGGTAAACTTCCTGCTGGTCTACAGAGAAAGGCATTGTTCAAAATAATAGAGCTCCTGATATTTGGGCTATACTAATTGAATGTGAAAACTCTACACATACTCATTTTAACTTTACAGCCATGACATTGACCCATGTCATTCATTGTTTTTCTTAGCCTGATGTGAAAATGATGAAATTAATGCCATGTAATCTGGATATTTACTTTGCTCAGTTCATCATGTAATTGGTGTTGCCCACCTGTCTCAGTTCATCATGTAATTGATGTTACCCACCTGTCTCAGTTCATCATGTAATTGATGTTACCCACCTGTCTCAGTTCATCATGTAATTGATGTTACCCACCTGTCTCAGTTCATCACCTGTCCTGGCAGTTAATGTAATTGACCACCTGTCTCAGTTCATCATGTAATTGATGTTACCCACCTGTCTCAGTTCATCATGTAATTGATGTTACCCACCTGTCTCAGTTCATCATGTAATTGATGTTACCCACCTGTCTCAGTTCATCATGTAATTGATGTTACCCACCTGTCTCAGTTCATCATGTAATTGATGTTACCCACCTGTCTCAGTTCACCATGTAATTGATGTTACCCACCTGTCTCAGTTCATCATGTAATTGATGTTACCCACCTGTCTCAGTTCACCATGTAATTGATGTTACCCACCTGTCTCAGTTCATCATGTAATTGATGTTACCCACCTGTCTCAGTTCATCATCATGTCAGTTCATTGATGTTACCCACCTGTCTCAGTTCATCATGTAATTGATGTTACCCACCTGTCTCAGTTCATACCCACCTGTCTCAGTTCATCATGTAATTGATGTAATTAACCACCTGTCTCCAGTTCATCATGTAATTGATGTTACCCACCTGTCTCAGTTCATCATGTAATTGATGTTACCCACCTGTCTCAGTTCATCATGTAATTGATGTTACCCACCTGTCTCACCCGTCTCCAGTTCATCAGTTCATCATGTAATTGATGTTACCCACCTTGTCTCAGTTCATCATGTAATTGATGTTCCCCACCTGTCTCAGTTCATCATGTAATTGATGTTACCCACCTGTCTCAGTTCATCATGTACCCACTCCTGTCTCAGTGATGTGTTCCCCACCTGTCTCAGTTCATCATGTAAGTGATGTTCTCCCCACCTGTCTCAGTTCATCATTCGTCTCAGTTCATCATAATTGATGTTACCCACCTGTCTCAGTTCATCATGTAATTGATGTTACCCACCTGTCTCAGTTCATCATGTAATTGATGTTACCCACCTGTCTCAGTTCATCATGTAGTGTAATTGATGTTACCCACCTGTCTCAGTTCATCATGTAATTGATGTTACCCACCTGTCTCAGTTCATCATGTAATTGATGTTACCCACCTGTCTCAGTTCACCATGTAATTGATGTTACCCACCTGTCTCAGTTCATCATGTAATTGATGTTACCCACCTGTCTCAGTTCACCATGTAATTGATGTTACCCACCTGTCTCAGTTCATCATGTAATTGATGTTACCCACCTGTCTCAGTTCATCATGTAATTGATGTTACCCACCTGTCTCAGTTCATCATGTAATTGATGTTACCCACCTGTCTCAGTTCATCATGTAATTGATGTTACCCACCTATCTCAGTTCATCATGTAATTGATGTTACCCACCTGTCTTCTGCCAGGTTACATGCATGCTAGCTGTGAGGACGACACAAAGGGCTTCGTGAAAGTGATGCGGGTAAGTACATGTGCACATAGAAGACAATTCCATATCCACTGTTCTGGTATCTTCGGAATGAAAATGGTTGTGGCAAAGGATTTATAAATAGAAGCTGCATGTTAAATTCCTGTTTAGCCACATTTTTTAAAACTTTTAGACGGACATTATTTTGGGAAGGAAAACATCTTGTCTTTGTGGTGTTGCCTTGTCAATAGATTAGTGGCTGTGTCTAACTCTACATTTCTGATTGTAGATTTTCGAGACTGTGCTGTTTTTCTATGGCACTCAGAAGAATGACTTTGATGGTCGGTGGAAGAGTTTCCATATTGTGAAGGCAGCTTTGGAGGATAAGGTATGGAAACTGATATGTGTGTCACCAGACAGTGATCTATTTACTGTCGATATGTTCTTTGGTTACTTGATACAAAAGGACATTGTTGGCTATGTTTTGTCAGCGTTATTGTGTTTAACATTGTGTGTATGTTTGCAGCTACGAGGCAAGAAGCGTCACATCCGAGCACTGCTTGTAGACAGAGTCCAGTTACAACATGAGGTAAGGTATATTTTCATAACAGATTTAATGTGTCTGATATGAGGTGAGGAAGAAAAACAGTTATTTTCTCTAGCAGTGACTTGATGAATTTGTAATTGCTGTTTTCACATCGAACCTTTGCAACTTTGTGCTCTGAATGAGACGATCCAAATTATTGAAGTGTCATTTTATCTCTGCCATTTTGTCACAGTGTAGAATAAGTTTGCAGATGATCACCAACCACTCTCGAGCCTTCAGATTTATAGATAACACTATGTATTGAAACAACACACTGCAGATATGATTAATAATGCTTTGTAGTCAGTAATAAAGTACACAAAACGAAGTATTGGAAAAGACATGAGTCAGTTACAATGGATGCTTGTTGAACCTGTCCATACTTGCAACATTATTTTCCAGTTGCTGATGTTGAACAGCAAGGAGAAGGTGTTCACGAGCCGCCACCAGGATATATGGAATGATCTGATGCAACTGTGTCTCAGCAGATACAGCGAGGTACAGTCTACAGCTCTTGCACTTTGTTCATTTGAACTAACAGGGAAATAGGTGCTCTGGTGATCAGAGGTGCCCACTCAGAGTTGTGTCCCTTTGCTGTTGTGATTTACTGGTTGCTGGACCACAGCTAAGATTTTGATACTGCTAATACTAATACTGTATGAACCCAAACCCCACTGCTGATGTGAGCCTGTACTTGTTTTGCTGAACTAGTTACATCTTTTATCTGTAAATCAGTCTTCAGTACCCTGATCTTTCAGCTTATTGTTACAGTGGACCATTTGTTGGTATAGTCTGTTTGCAGTGAAAACGTACCGATGAATTTCACTTTAAACAAAAAGTAAATCACTTAAAGTGAAATTAAGATTGCGAATCCTCATGATTTTACCTTGACAATTGAACATTAAAATCTCAGAATTTTATTCAACTTAGGACAAAAGTTGTTTAACAAACGATCATAGTTTCAAATCGCTATTATTGGTGTGTATTACAAGGGGGTATGCACATTAAATGAAACCCGAGAACAAGAAGGGTTGGTTTCTACAGTAGTCTAAGTTAGCAGCTCATCACACCACCCGCGCGTGCATTTTTTGTTTAAAGTGAAATTCATCGTATCGTTTTCACTGCAAACAGACTATAGGTCCAGTGAGACCACCAGACTGTCCTGTCTGACAGTCACCCACCAAAGTTGTTGTTGTACATGTATGGTGTGTAGTACGTGTTTCAGGTTAGGAAAAAGGCCCAGAACTGCCTCCTGGCTGCATTTACCAACTTCCCATATACATATCGAACTGTGATAAAGGAGATTGTCCACAATATCCGCGTGAACCAGATGTTCCAGAACATAAGTTCAAGGTAAGATAGCACAACTTTATTGGTAGTGCCATTTAACATGAAGATTGACATAATAGACAAACATTATAAATCTTGATACAATTTCAAATGGTTTTCACAACCTAATCATATGTGAAAAAGAAAGGCTAAAAAGAAACAACTTGTATTGTTGCCCTTTACCTTGCCAGGATCTGCTGACCATGGATTTGCTTAATCATGATCTTTTGTCCTTCAATACCCTTACTTAAATGTCTTCACATATGTTTGGTCCCCCCTTCCCTCCATAGTGCTGATAGTGATATAACTGCTTTGTCCTTAAACTCCACTCAGTTGTTTCCATAAGTCCCTATTATTGGAATGCATGGGTAGAGACTTGAGGTACTTTCCTCAGTTAATTGAGCCAAGGTGCACATTTGACCATGGCTATGAATTCCACTCCTCAGGGTAGTCTTTACACCATCCTAGGTAACGGGAAGAAAAGCCTAGCAACAAAGAGAAACTGGGAGATATTGTCCCAGATTTGGCCAGCCCTTGTCCAAGCACAGCACTCAGAGAAACCTTCGATCCTAAAGGCTATTGATGATATTGTAACAAAGGTGGTGAAATGTCTGGAGACAGTAGCCATTAATGTTGAGGTAAGAAGTCATGCAGATCATCTTTTAGCTCACCTGACTGAATATTCGGTGAGCTTATGTCATGGCCTGTTAGCCCATCATCTTTCATTGGTCATAAATATCTCTTCTTAGATACCACTGAACCCATGAAGCTGAAACTTCTCATACATGTTCCCACCAATGACAGATCCTGAGGTTGTGGGGTAGTTTAGTGGTTAAAACATTCGCTCGTCACGCCGAATACCCAGGTTTGATTCCCCACATGGGTACAATGTGTGAAGCCCATTTCTGGTGTCCCCCGCAGTGATATTGCTGGAATATTGCTAAAAGCGGCGTACAACCCAACTTACTCACTGAGGTTGTAGAAGAGGTGTGATTCAAATTTTTATAATGAATGAAGTAGCAGCCATTTTGAAAATCTATATATTGCCATTACTCAGACATTTTCATTTAACATGTCATACAATTTGTCATACAACTGTCTTCGTTCTTTGTCTGTGTGTGTGTTTGGAAACTGTTGACTGCATACCCAAACTGAGCTTAAGCCATGTGCCACTAAATGGTGAACCGTCCGGTCCCTCCAGGTATGATTGTGTTATGTGTCAATGATCATTTATTGAATTATTCTTCAAATTATTTCTTCTACAGTAAAGTATATAACAGTACATTTAGATAAAGGTCCAGTTCAGATCATATGCTAATTTGATGTAAACTGGGTTTTCAGACACCTCTCAAGTGTATAGACCGAGGTCGCGACCTGTTGCAGACGTCATTGCCAGCACCGACGTGTGACCCTGCATCAGATGTGGAACTGCAGAAGAGTGCTCAGAAAGAAGCTGATCAAAATCAAACAAATGACAGGTCAGTCTAAAGATGATGTCAGCAACTGATTACTCTGCTCTTGAGGCATTAAACAAGAAACAACAGTCACTGCATTAGTGACATTAAATCTCTTCAGTTTATCAGCAAAGACAAGGGATTCATTTCACTGATGGATTAGGCTTTCATACGTCAACTATAGTATTATAAAAAAAGAATGGGTGGTCCGAAACTTCTTTTGAGTCGTATTTGTCCAACATGTTTACAATGACGTAAACTTCAGATGTTTTGAAAAATATATTCCCCTGGCCTTCAAGCAAACAATGCTGTCTTTGAAACACATGTTATAAAATGTATTAGTTACAACATTCGTGATGGTAACATGGCCCTATGGGATGATGCCGAGGTTACAAGCCATCTGTAAACATGAACACGTATGTATTTCTTTTCAGGGATTATGTGAAGCTGATTACAACACTAGCAGCCCAGGTAGAGAGTGGAAAACTGTAAGTATTACAGGAATGTCAGTATTTCTTTAAGATTCAAAAACTAAGACATGGAGGAAGCACATTTTCTCATGTACCAGTTGGGTCCAAATAAGCCAGCACATAGTGATATGTAATGCCTGTCAATATGTAATGCTTGTCAATGCTTGTCAATATATAATGCTTGTATTCACAGGACGTGGAAGTTCAGCCAGATCAGTATGGAGCTGATGGCAATACTACTGCGACACGACCGAGAAGCCCCACCTGAAGTTGTGGCCTGCTTCGTCAAGCATCTCTGCCACGACGCTCTCTACATCCGCAAGGTGAGACAAGTCTTTCATCGTTTGTGAAAACTGGAACTTCTCTTATATGTAATAATTATTTTTATAGAGACATTTCAGTGACAAATTATATGTGATGTCTATACCGGGACCTGATTTTCAGTTGGCAATGTCGGCGGTGTCAGCAGTGTTGAAACAACAGAAGCGGAAACACCCCAAGGTCCCCGTTGATCCCTACAAGCGATCAGGGTGTGCTCCGCAACCTCAGGCTAGCAGCTGTGTCCCTGGGGACCGTCCAGACAATATATGGCACCAGTACGATCTCGCCGACCTCCCAGTCACCAGGGAGAAGTGGGACAAGGCAGAGTTTGTGGACAAGACACACTGGGGATACTACTCTTGGCCAAAGTAAGTTACTGTTGATCATGCTTTTATAGGTCACAGAAGTAGTGTTTGATCTTAATCTTGAGCACAAGTACCATATTCAGAGTAATAAGATGCCTGGGTGCTTTGAAAAAAGACAAAGGGGGTGCTTATTTTATCCAACATCAATCTGATGAAAGTATTTTTATTATATTTACAAACCATATCCCCCTTCTGTGCTGTATAGTATTGTAGTTGCAGTTCATTTTGTGTCATGAAGTCACTGGTCACTTGGAATGTGCTTATTAACAATTAAAACGAAACTAACACAACTATATATTGTTACACAAATTACAGAAAAATCATGTATAATCCATAGCATTGTTTATATTGAAGACATCATTCTAAATCCTCAAAATCACTTATTCTACATCAGTAATCAACAGATTCTCGTGACTTTGCCTTGCACCTTTGATCTTTGAAAAACGTGAAGGGTTGCTTATGAAGACTTTCAGATTGGTAGTGATGTTGGTCAAGGCCCACTTATTCCAGCTGTCCCTAATATGTCATATTTGGTATTGCATTTGATCGAAATATTGATGCATTGCAAGTGGCTATAGTTCCTGGACCCCATTAAACAAAGCGGTCTTAGACCAACTGGATGTTGACTCCTATGGTGTAACATAGGCTTTTGATAGTTGTATCTCTGAGTGGGGCGCGCTGGGGTAGCTTAGTGGTTAAGGCATTCGCTCGTCACGCTTAAGACCCGGGTTCGATTCCCCACATGGGTACAATGTGTTAAGCCCATTTCTGGTGTCCCCCACCGTGATATTGCTGGAATATTGCTGAAAGCAGCGTAAAACCAAACTCACTCACTCACTCACTGTATCTCTGAGATCACTTGGCAGTCTAAGCCAAAATGTCCACTGGCCCAAAGGTGACTCATAGCATCATTTACAGTACATTTTAATGTTATCATTTGAGGATATCCTGAGGAAGACATATGATGACCCGTTCATGTATTGCTACAGTCCTGAGATGTTTACCCCCTCTCAGCCTCCTTTCCTTATCTAATAACTCTATGCCTTGCCTGCATCAGTATAAAGATTCCCTATATGCCTGAGTTATTGTTGTCTATATTATTCACTCATTCTGTTTATGTATCTAAACAGGAAACTGTGTGTGATGTTATATTGTTTTCCTCCAGGGAAATGTTTGTGTATGCTCCATACGACAAGCAGCCCAAACCAGAGCTGCCCCGGTCTGAGATGAATGAGGCAGCTCAGTGTATATATGACAGCTTCTGTAGTGAGGAATTTGTAGAGAAACTCGTCTCATTCTTGTCCTTGGAGGAACTGAAGGGTAGAGACAAGTTCCGCACAAAATATCTAGTCCTATTTAAGGTGAGTGTGTTATCACCATTACAGATTCTGTTGGCCAGTTGAATTAGTCGTTATTTTCCCAGCACTTGGGCACAGTGACGACATTACAGCTCTGACATAGGATAATTTGTATGTCACCTGGCAGGACCTTGTTTGTAAATGGACACTCTTGTTCTGAAATCATAGCAGACCCACATTTGTGCATTGGAACGATACTTCCTGGTTTGTTTACTTTAGAGTGATCAATGTATGAACTTACTGTTGCAAATTTGGTTTACCTATATATTCGTTATGAGTAAGACAAATAGGATTTAAGGTTCATTAACAAATTCCCATGGGTAGGAGTCGCCCAGCCTTACTAGCAACCCGATATGTACTGTTCAAACTTACATCACTTAGGCAACATGGATGTGTGAGTCTTAGTTTAATCCTGATCGTGTTTCTTGGTTTACCAGCACCATGACTGTGACATCTCCCACCTGCATCACTTCTAGCTTTGCTCCAATGTCAAGTTGGGGTGGTGGGGTAGCCTAATGGTTAAAGCGTTGGCTCGACACGTCGACGACCCGGGTTCGAATCCCCACATGGGCACAATGTGTCAAGCCCATTTCTGGTGTCCCCCGCCGTGATATTGCTGGAATATTGCTAAAAGCGGCGTATGAAACCAAACTCAGTCAGTCAGTCAGCCTATGTCAAGTTCTCATGTTTTTATTGCAAAATGTACATATACATTGACCAAGTTAGGGGCGGTTGGATAGCCTAGTGGTTGAAGCGTTTGCTTGTCACACCAAAGACCCAGGTTTGATGCCCCATATGGGTACAATGTGAAGACCATTTCTGGTGTCCCCTGGCGTGATATTGCTGGAATATTGCTTAAAGTGGTGTAAAACTCACTCACTCACTCATTCAGACCACTTTGGTTGTTTGGTCTCCTGCTTATTGCACTTTTAGCAATACAGTGTAGTTTTTGACTGAAGATGTTATGCTTTCCCAAAACCTCTACTCAAAAATGGTGGATGTCTTGCAAGAAAATATCTTAATTGAAATACTGGTTAAGGCTTCCATAAATCAAACTCGCTCACCTCTCATTAATATTAAAGGTCAGAGAAAACTACAAAAATTATTTTCTGTCAGCTTGAATTCTTACTTTCCTTTCTTTAAGGGTTTATTCCGTAACTATGGGGACGTGTTCCTGCCAAACTTCCAGCCTCACATTGAGCGTCTGATGGGAGACTTGAGCCATGACAAGCATGACAGCAGTCAGCGCTGTGCAATGGAGATTCTAGCCGGCATTATCAGGGGAAGCAAACACTGGGCATTTGACAAGGTGAAGGACACGCGAGTCCAGTTTATTACCCTGCTTTCAAATAGTGCCAGAATTCATTCAGTTTTTTTTTATGCAAGATTCCATGAACCCAATAGATATGTTGTGAACAGTTAAACAGAAGAAATTAAGTTGTAAATCAAAATGCTTGTTTGATTCAAAGATTGCTATTTTGATAATTTCTTGATATATTCTATTTTCAGGGAAAGTTACTAAAATCTACATCTGACTTCTTGTTTCAGTTTTTATATATTTTGATTCATGCATATTGATTAAAACATGACAATAAGCTTGTCTGGGTTAAATCTACAGACTGGGATGTAACCCCTTGTAACAAAATTGGTAATGATAATGGTGTGTGTAGTTTTTTGAAGACACTAACTGTTTGTGATTTGTTTTCAGGTGGAGAGGTTATGGAAATGGGCATGTCCTCTGCTAGCTACCTCACTAAGCAACATTACCATAGAAACAGTTGATGATTGGGGATCATTCTACACAAGTCTTTCAGTTAGTTCATATTTTAATGTTGATCCATGTGAAGATCACAAGTGTTAACTGTGAAGATTGTGTAGATACAATACAGCACCAGAATGTTTGGTGGTGTCAACATTTGGTGTCTCATGTCTGTTACATGGTCGGAACTTTGTGTTTGTATATTATCAGGCTGTTATTTGAGTCGACCATTGGCTTTTGATATTTCCTAACTGTAATATGGCTCAAGTATTTTTATCCCCTGCAATGCATTTTGCGGGGGTATTAAAATGGACACAGTCCGTCCGTCTGTCCGTGTACATTTGCCTTTTCCGGAGCAGAACTTTAAAACCGTTCAATATTTCTTCACCAACTTGGCACATAGATAGATCTGGTGGTGTACTGGTGCCTTTTGGTAGTTTTGGATTTCTGAATAAAATATTGTTTGCATTTCCATAGCAACAAGTTTGACTTCGACTGAAATTGGTGGTAGTGCTCTTTTCCTTAGCAAAACTTTAAACCTACAATATTTCTTAACCAAATTTGGCACATGGATAGGTTTAGTGGTGAACTGATGCCTTTTGGTAGTTTTGGATTTCTGAATAAAATATCCTTTGTGTTTTCATGGCAACAAGTTTGGCTTCAACTAATTTTGGTGCTGACTATGTTGAAGATAGAATTCATATACTCACCATAATATCATAGTGATGTAAACTAAATAGAAATATTTTCAGTAAGTAAATATAACTACTTTATACAATGCGGGGTATGTTTTCCAGGAGAGCCGTGACCCAAGGAAGTTACACTGGTTGTTGACGATGTTGATGGAGAACCCCCTTAGGGGAGAAGGTGGAGCTTTCGGAGATGCTAGGTAGGTTTCATGTGTAACTAGGATAATATGGGTTAGGCTTGTGATAAGCTTTTGAAGTGAATAATCCTAAACACGCTTACAGTTGTGCCACCCAATCTGATTATAGAAATAGTCTTCAACAACCCATGCTTGCCATAAGGACAACTTAAGGGATCGGGGATTGGACTTGCTGACTTTGTTGATATTCATCACTGTGTCCCAATTGTGTCCATCGAGGACCTGTTTATATTTACAATTGTTCATGCTATCAACCACAGGTCATCCTGACCTACCCATGGTTGAGTGCAGGCTGTCTAATAGCCATGTCACTGCTGTTTATTTGCTCATTAAGAACTTATTCTTCTCTAAGGTGCCCGTAAGGTCTAATAGAAGTGAAACGGTTTTCTACTCCTGTATGAGTAGCGAAGAATGTCGATGATGTAATTCCAGACACTGGACAATTTTATGGACAGCAAACACAGTTTCACTGCTGTAGTTGATTTGAAATGTTCAGTTCAGTAACCAGTGAAGATCTGGGTTCAGCAACCCATGCTTGTTGTAAGAGGTGACTAGCGGGATTGGTGGTCAGGCTCACTGACTTGAGTGGCACATGTCATGGTATACCAAGTGCATAGATCGATGCTCACACTGTCCAGACTGAAATATGTACAGATCGCAACTATATGGCTGAAATATAGCTGAGTGCAGCATTAAACAACAAACAACAGTTCAGTAAGTCATGTGATTTGTTCTCTTGCCAGTCGGCTGTATGCAGTGCAGAATGCCCTCATTGACCAGGAGTGGCGTGTCCCTCAGTTGCTGCATCACCTCCTTGAGTACCTCAAACCTTATCTTGCTCATCCCTACAAGAATGTGCGTGACAGGATAGGCAGGTATGGTGGCTGACCGTTAACTTCTTATTGCTATGGTTAGAATTATTATTTGATTGTTTCCTTTTAAACTTTGCATATTAAGATAAATTAACAAAGAAATGTATTTGGAAATGACAGGTCATTTTTTTTTTTTCACTTTGTGACAAATTTGGACTTTATTCCTTTATGAAAATTTGTTAACAAATTCAGTGGGATGAGAAACAAACTTATTATTATCATTATGATTTGTGATATTTTGAAAATGTCGGATAGTAATGTCCACTGCCTCTGGTACAGCATGAACTGACTGACTGACTTGTTTCCAGTGTGTTAAGCAATGTGTTCCTGTATGACTACAAGATCTGCCCCCAGTCCAGTGTGAGGTCACCTCACCGCCACACATTCCTGGAGGAAATCCTGCCACAGCTACAGCAGCTCAAGGACATTGTGCCAGAACAGACCTCAAACAATGGGCCTAGTATGTTATTTATTTATTTATTTCTTTCTTTCTTTTCCCGTGAAGATCCGGGTTAGAATTGATCTTCAGTAACCCATGCTTGTCGTAAGAGGCGATTAACGGGATCAGGTGGTCAGGCTCGCTGGCTTTGTTGACACGTCATTGTATCCCAATTGCGCAGGTTGATGCTCATGCTGTTGATCACTGGATTGCCTTGTCCAGACTCGATTATTTACAGACCGCCGCCATATAGCTGGAATATTGCTGAGTGCTAAATCTTCACTCACTCATTTTCTTGCTTTCTTTTGTTTGTTTTGGGTTTGGGTTTTTTCAGCCAAGTCCGACCACCTGATCCTGTTGCTGCTAACTAGTTCTCACTCGGATCTTCCTGAGGTGGCTTGTACTTAGTATATATTGGAGTCTTAATCACATGACCCATGATATACAATATCTATCACCAGTCTAGCTCAACCACCATTTTTCTCTACTCAGACTCGGCTATTTCACACACATGCACTGTTATTTGGAGTTAAATACCACTTCACCAAGAGGTTGTAATGTTAAAACTATTTTGTGTTGTAGAAGTGGAAAACTCAGCCTCTGCTGTAGTGGCGTCCTCAAGCGTCACGAAACCCGAGCCCATGGAGGTGGAGGATAACGGAACTGAAGATGATGAGCGGAAGAAGGCGATACGTCTCTGTAAAACAGGTGAGATGTGCTACTTATCGGGCATGGATCTGAGTAGCCTCAGTTACCTACTTAGCTGTCCCTGATTTCTGTATATTTGGCGCCAAAGAGCTTTTTCACGTCAAATGTCTGTGATCCAGACTGAATAGTAAGTTTTCATTATAATATTTCACATTTTATGAAACGAGACAAAGAGATTCTTCTTCATAGAGATCGTCCTTGGGGTACATATTATGCATTTTCCACGCTGAAAATGTCCTGTAACAGTTGTATCAATGTTTTTTGAATAAAAAGATTGTACAATAAATAAACTTTTTTATTTATTATACGGCCCCCACCTCGTGGAGTTACCTCCCGTTGAGCATGCGCACCAACTGGGTAAGCACCTAGGCCCGTATCATCATTCCTTCTGCTGTCACTCACATGTGAAGACGTGTTCGATGTGCCGTGCAGCGCTGTTTTCTCCTAAAGAAATTGAAAGAGATATGTCTGAGACACCACCTGTATGTATGGTCTTTATTTTTATGTCCTTGCGGACCTGTAAAGCCTTGGGTCGGTTGTTTCATAATTGTGACTTTGTATTAATTATTTTACTAACTTTCCCGTGGTTTTACGCACATATTGCTCTGCCATGGCGGGAAGTTTAGCGTGCCACGTGGTTGTAATATTGCGTATTGAACCAACTATTTCTTCCCGTGGTAGCCTTCACGTATTTTTCAATGTTTTCTACGTGTATGTTAGCTGCTGGTCCGCTGTTAGCTACATGCTTGTGTGTTTGCTTTCAGGCGTTTTCCTCCTGTACGGTCTGTGGGCAGAGTATCCCACGGGCCGACAGACACGATAAGTGTATCTTCTGTCTGGAGAAGACGGACCATGTTGCCGAAACTTGTGAAATTTGCATGGGGTTTCCCCGGGCCCAGAAGAGGAGGGCGGATTTCCTCTTTACAGAGAAATGCGTGGGCGGAGGGAACTTACCCAGGTCCCCGTCTAAGGCTAAAAGCAGCTCTAAGGGCAGAAAATCCCATAGCCAGTCCCCTTCTCCCGCTACTAGTAGCGGTTTTGATATGACTTTAATCACACAGATGTTTCAGCAGCACGCAGACTCGATGAGGTCCCTCGTTCATGAGGCGGTTGGAGGACTCGGCAGGAGTTCCTCACCCACTCTGGCGTGGGGCGGAGAGTCTGGGGAATTGGGATCGCCGAGCCGGCTCGATCTCTCGACCTGAGGCGTCTGTAGATCCGTTGCCTCTGGCCGGGTCCGGCGCCTTCGGCTGCCCCGGAGGGGGAGGCTTCGCTCCCAGTCCCCCTCTCGGAGTAGGCGCAGGGACCGTTGATGATTCCTGGGGTTCCGATCCCTCCCGCCCCATGAGAGCGGAGGCACCAGTTCTGCCTGGTCTGCCTCCAGCGTCTCGGGACCGGGGTCCGTGCATGACTGCAGGCACTGACGCGGGGCGCTCTGTCTGCTCCTCCCTCTCTGCTGTACCTAGTGCTAGGCCGCCCACCGGGCCGGGGTTCGGGTCCTCTTCGCGAGGAGACCCAGCCTCAGACTCGGGCTCGGGCGCCGAGTCTATGGATACTGGGGAGGTCGAGGAGCAGGAGGGTGCCTTCCGTTTTTCTTCGGCTCTGCAGGAGGTCCGGCAACGCATTGCCAAGTATCTACCCCAGGCCACGGTGCCTGCCAGCTGCTCGGACTCGGCTGAGTTCCGCCTGCCAGGCGAGGCGTTTGCCCCTAGGCAGCCTATGCAGACGCTGCTCTGTATTCTTCCGTCGTTGGTCCAGGACGTGGTGGATCCCCTCCTGTCTGGGTCTCGCCTCCGTTTCGACTTGCCAGAGCTTGTCCGGAGGTACCAGCTTAGGGAGGACTCCCTGTTCGCGGTTCCGATAGTGGATGAGTGCGTGTTCACTTCGGTCGCCTTGTGGGGAGGCTCGGCTTCCTCTGGAGCAGCTCCGGCTGCTCGGCAAGGTCGGTTGACACCACCGTTTGCCCTCGCGGGCGCCCCCCTGCGGCATGCGCGTGCCGTACCCTCACGAGGAGAGGTTTTCGGGCGCTATGCAGCAGGTCAGGGTTAATGGTCCATGAGGCCTACCTCTCCTCGATACAGAGGTCGGCCCTGGAGGCGGAGGGGCATGCTTCTCCGCATGTCGTGCTACTCCGTCAGTTGTCCGAAGTTCAGGCCCACCTCGCGCGCGACTCCTTGCGGTCCGCTGCGTCGACGGTGATGTGCGCAGTCATGGGGATGCGCAAGCTGTGGCTGTCGACGCCTCGGTACTCGGCAGCGACACAGCAGACCTTGCTGGCCCTCCCCTTCCGTCTGGGAGCGACCCTCTTTCCGGGGGCGCAGCAGGTCATACGGGAGGCTGCCGCTGCAGCTACCTCCTTCAAGGACTCTAAGGCCTTGTTAGAGCAACCGCGGGCTTCTCGGCCCCGCACACCCGTTCCACCTTCCTCCGCCGGGTGCAGCCTACACCGAGTCCCTAGCTGGCTGGCCGGCGCAGCTTGGCAGGGTAGGCGGAGGAACAGGTCCGCCAAGGGTAAGGGCAAAGAGCAGTCCTCTTCGACTAGCTCCCAGCATTTCGTGGGCGCGGGACGTCTGCCCCGACCTCCCGTTAACCCATCAGGCTGTAGACCCAGCCATGTGTCACTCCCAGTCAGCTCCGCTACTCGGGACCACACACGCGCTCTTACCCCACATCCCAGTGGGAGGCCGCCTCTCTCTATTCCTACCGGAGTGGGAGAAGGCTACAAACAACACTTGGGTGCTGTCCACCATAATTCTTTTTTATATATTCCTCCTTGGGGTACTTATAAGCATTTAAATGTCCATTTAAAATCCCTACGACAGTTGTAACAATATTTTGAATAAAATATTTACAAAACAAAAACTACGTTTTGTCTTGTGAGACCACCCTTACAGGGCCCTCTGGCCCCCTACAGCCAAGAGCAGGTAACTCCAGACCGTAACCTCGTACCTCACTTTCCATGCTGTCGTTGTACCGACAAGACGTGGGTCCATACCAGAAGGTTTTTCCTTGCGACTATAGAGAAATGAGTGTTTCAGAAACTGCAACTGTATGTATGGTTCTCTTTTTTCCCTGCATGGGCGAAGTGGAGGTTTTTTCTGAATTTTTTCATTCATAAATTCTCGTTGTAACTTGGTACCTGTCGCGGTCGGCTCGCTAGTGCGTGTCAAGATGGCGGACAGGTCCCTTCGCTAGCCTTCCTGTTCATTGGTTTCCCATGTGGTTTTTCAATGTTACAGGTGGTTTTAGTGATTTTTTATTTGTATCTTTGTCACGTGTAGAGTATGTCAACTGCTCGCATTTTCTATATTAAGCTAAAAACCGTGAATTGTTGGTTATGCTGCAGTGTGTACTAGGTCAACTGCATGCCACGTTGTCGCATTAGTTGTGTAAGCCCATGCGTCTGTTTACATGTATTTGTATGTGGGTATAGGGTAGATTGCTGCACAGGTTTTACTTGTTGCAGTTTAAACCCTGTACTTCCTGCCTTGCTGCAATCCCGTAAAGGGATTCCCACGAGGTCTGCCTCGCTGTTTAGTGCAGAAGGAACATGAGGAAGAGGGGTGCGCGGCATGTGCCATGTTCTCGCCCAAACCATTCGGTCGGTGGGCGCATAGACACGCTGTTTTACAGCAACCTGCTTCGGGTGAGGGGTGATCTCTGGGCAGGATCCCCGTCCAAGCGCTCCCATAGTAGGAAAAAGGGGTCCACGGGGCCGCTTCCCCGCTTGAGCCGGCTCCCAAGAAAGCTAAGGCTACCAAAGGCGGCCACACGACTCATGCCCCTTCGGGCGTCTCCTCCTGCTTCCATCTCTGTACCGCCACCCCTCTTGATTCAGCACCTGTGCAAAATGTTCCTGTTGATTCCTTAACCATTTTTTCCAGGAGCAGATGTCGACAGTCAAGTCCCTGATTGATACGGGCGTTAGCAGGGTTCGTAAGGAGCTCAGCGCCCGGTCGTCGGGGCGGAGCTGACACATCTGGGGGTTAGCTGCGCCCGAGCTCGGCTCGGAGAACGCGGCCCCGGCGGCTTGATCCTGGCCCGGCGTGGCGATAGCATGCCCTCGGCGTCTGCTGACGACCTGGCTTTACGCCCGGGGCTGTCACAGGTGCCTGGTGCCGGCGAGACAGGGTTGCCCCCTGTCATCGCCTGGTGTCCCGACTGGTGGTCGCCAGGCGCCGACCAGTTCGGGAATACCTCGGCGCCTGGCAGCCAGTCTGGGCTGCCCGGAAGCCTGTTGCGGCAGGTTCTCTCGGGCTACTCGGCGACCTGGTGCGGGTTCCTCCGGCAGGGTGATGTTTTTCCCTGGCTCCTCTGGACCTTATTACTTTGTCTGGTCCTGCCTCTGGCGTCTCCTCGGCGTTCTCTCTCAGTCTGAGATGATGACGGCCGAGGATTCTGCCGAGGTCGATATGGAGGAGGAGGAAGGGACGGAGGAACCGGAGGCGGGAGTACCGTACTCCTTTGCCTCGTCCCTGCGGCAGGTTCGGGATAAGATCGCCGAAGTCCTGCCGCAGGTGGCTGTTCCCGATCCGGCAACCCGACCCAGCGGAGTTTCGCTGCCCCGGGAGGCGTTCGCGACCTAACCCGGTCGCAGAGGCTGCGCCTGCGCATTCTACCATCACTGGTCAGTGAAGTGGTGAATCCGGCTCCTTGCTGGTACTTCGCTTCGCGCTTTGATTTGCCTGGCGTGGGCAGGCGGTACCAGTTAGGTGAGGAGACGCTCTTCGAACCACCAGTGGTGGACGAGTGCGTATTTGCCTCGGTTACATTAGGAGGGTCGTCTTCGTCTTCCCTGGCCTCGGCCAGGCAGGGCAGGCGCCTCCCCCCTTTTCCGGCTAGTACATCACTACCGCTGAAGTCTGCCTACCGGTCATTTGAAGAATGTTACCGGTGCGCGGCTCAGCAGCTTAAAGTGGCCGTCCATTCAGCCTACCTGTCTGCATTGCAGGGACAGCTGGTGGCCCATAGCGCTGGCGGTGCCGATTCATCGGAGTCGG